TTTTTCTTCATATCAATCCCGTAGAGACTATTTGAATATATAGATTGATTGTCTTAAATGACCTACTAAGTATTTTCTTTTTATATCTCAAAATCTTGTAGTTGCTATACAAAGCTCAATTTTATTAGGTTTTTATTTTAAAAAGTAGTTATAATATTAATATAAATAAAGACACCATCCTTGCAAAACTTCTAAAGTAATGATGGCTCTTAGAATTATGTAGCATAGAATATGAACAAATATTTTTATTAATAATAAAATCCTTACTTTTATATAGCATTTTTTGCCACAAGATAAGATTTGAACTTTATTTGAATAGAATTCATGGTTTATTTGGTTCAATAGATCTATTTAGATGTGAGAGCTTTCAACCTTAGTAGAAAATGAGCAAGATTTCAAGCATAATTTTAAATATAAGAGTCAAAATTTACTTCCATTTATTTCTTCCATTTATTATTTTTTATGATATGTTTTGATGTCAAAATTTTCCAAATGTCACTTAAATATCTATAAAAAAACTTATTATTGTCTTTGATAAAATAGATTTTATGATATTTTAAATAAAAAAAATATGCATATTTCTTGATAAACATCTAATAGGATTAAAAAAAACTTGGTTAATCAATAGGTATCATTTTTTGTAGATCATTGATTCTATTTTTAATATTGCTATTTGATATAGAATTGTTTTCATTAATTGTAGCTCAAGTTGATGTAGTCTCAACTTCTTGTTGTATATCAAGGCCTTCTATGTTGTTATTATATATTAATTGATGTCGAATAAAAAAAAATCACAAAAATATATATTAATTAATTATTATTTGTTATCTAAGAAGATCATGATAATAATAAGCTTTGATTTATTTATTAAGATATTGCAAAAGGCCTAAGTACTAAATTTAATCCTAAAATATAAAGACCAAGTAGAACAACTGAAGAGAAGATTTGAAATTTTAGAAGCTCTAATCTAAAAATAATAAATAAATAAATAAATAAATAAATAAAAAGATAAGAAAATATAATATAAAAATTTGAGCAGAATTTTTTTCTTTTGCTCAAACACATCATTTTGGTGTAGAAATTGCTCAAAGGTAAGCTACCTTCAAATCCCATGTATAGAACAAAAATCCAAGAATTTAGTAGAAAAGAATTTTTTTTTCTCCTTATTTGTTTAGAGACAAGATATCTTCTCTTGAAGTTCAATCTCAATGATATAAATAAAATTTTGAAGAGTAGAAATTTAATAATCCTTTGCATTAAATAATAAATCCAAATAAATCTCAAAAAAACATCAATGTTTGTAAGAATGTACTTAGTTATTATATTAGTAGTAATAGAACTACATAAATCTGAATGTAATAGCTCCAATAGTCAAGTGACATAAAAACCACCTTGTTTGGAAATCCTTTGGTATTGGTGATTTATTTAAATACAAACTTCACATGTATAATTAGCTAAAAGAACCTTTGAATCATTGCTAATCATATTCTTAGAAAATATATGGTCAAGTTGCTGAAATGAATATGACATACTTTTTTTGTAGCATAAGTCCAAAAAAGAATAAGAAGAAATAGACTCAAAGTTTAAAAAATTAAGGATTGATGTAGCTAAAATATGATGATTTAATCAAAGGGACAATTTTATAAAAGAATGTTAGACAAAGTAATGTTTTATAGACATAATAATAGGAAGATTCAAGGATTTAGATTATAAAGAAGTTAATGTGTAAAGATTGTTAGTAAATCTATATTTAATATATGAATATACATGGTCACATTCATTACAATCAAAGATAAAATAGGATTGATTGGTAAAAGTGATTATATGACTATCATTAATGAATTTGCCAATGCATAGAAGATGTTAAATACATTTGCCAATGCATGCAAGGTATTAAATACATTTTACACATACAAGATTCTTTGTCACACCTCGCATGTATAAGATGTATTTAACAAAATTATTCTTTATAAGAGTAACAAAATTATTCTTTATAAGAGTAACAAAAATTTTGCCAAACATGGGCAAGAAATCACTATCAGCAGTAGACACTATAGATAAATAGAAGATAAACTATTTAACCCATGCTCTCAAAAGTTATAGCAAAAGTTTTCTATTGTAGTAATCCAAAAAATAATTAAATTTAGCCTTGACAACATTGTCAATATGCCATACAAGTAAATTATATATGTTGAACAAGAAATATACTTAATAACTTTGTAAAAATATATATATAAATTAAAAAATTAAAAAATCCAAAATCAGACCAAAGAAAAGCACATTATTATTTACTTTATACAACAAAGAATATTGTGAAAAAATTTGGCATAATACTTCAAAAATATTAACATTGATCTACTTAGTAGTTAGAAGCTATGTTATAATATAAAAATAAAACAATGGTTTGATTTGGGCTTTTTTTTTGAAATTATAATATTTTAAATATATACATATGATCAAAACTTCATATTTAAGGTTGTTTTAAAGTAAGTGTAGATGGTTGCATAATCATACAAAATTAATATGCAATTAAAAGTAAAGTAATCTACCATTAATATATTAATATGCACAATTAGAATTTAATACATTAAAGCATAACATGCTAATGCATAGAGTTGTTGATAGTAGTTTATATTTTTTTAAATGGTAATGTTCCTACAAGGTTTGGAGCTAGCTCTTATTAGGGATACAAGGAGGTAGGAGTTTCTTTAGCAAGGATGCAACAAAGAGCCGTATGGTATACATTACTTATAACACATGAATAGGAATGCCAAAATATAGAATCAAGTTTAGGGTTTTGGGTTTGGGAGGCCAAACAAGGTATTGTTCTAAGTAGACTTGGAGTCAAGATCAGTGTGTAGGATAGATTTTGAAGTGTAAGAGTGAGCTTGGATGGAGCATATTATACCCTAGGTGTGGCATGAGAAGTTGTAAGCTAGAAATTTCTTTTATGGATGTAGCTTTAGAAGTGAATGAGGTACTTATTGCATTGGTGTACTCTTTGTTGTTTTTGTCATTGAAAATGTGCAATTTTCTTTTTGCTTTTTGTAACAAGAGCACAATTTCAACATAATGCATAAGCACACTATACCACATTGGAATACAATACTTAAAAACAAAAAATTAGAAAAGAATTGATGATCAAACCACAGCATACTAGATCTAAGTATAAACTAAAAAAAAAGGAACATATCAAAGAGTGCAACATATCAAAGAAGATAATAATAACTAATGAACATGCCAAATTAGAGATGATTTACAAAATTCACTTTGGACCATTAAGAATTTTCTTAAAGTAAACATAAGCTCTCTAAATAACATATATTCACCTTGGTGAGCTTTTACTACAAATTATCTTTTATCATAACTTCAAAAAGATAAGCTTAAAGAGTAGCTTTGAATAGAATGTATGATCTTAATGCCTACTTTTGATGCTCTCATTTGATAAAATAAAATGAAATAAAAATTATGAACCATCTTCTTCCTATTTTTCTACCAAGTTATATTCTTTGGTAGTTTTTATATAGTTGTGCTTTCTTGTTAGCTATTCAATTGTCCATTTAACTTTCTACAAAGAATTCTTCTACTCTAATACTTTGTAATTATAATATATGTATGATTTAGGTAATTTGAATTTTAATGCAATAACAAGAAGTTTGAAGTTTTATTTCTCCACATGTTTGGAATTTACAATAAAGACAGAGAAAGATAGAGAAGAAGAAGAATTTAAAACAAAAGTTATAATTTTAAGCTCAATTTCTTTTTGGAAATTAAAATTAGATTTAGAATACTTTTTAGATATTCTGAAATGTATATTTTTAGATTTTAGGATGAGAATTAGATATACATTTACATAAATAAAATAAAATATTTTTTTATTTTTTAAATCTATAAGCTATGATTTAGATATAAAAATCATAATGATATAAAATTTATAAATTTTTGAATTTAAAACCAAGTTCAGGGATTAGGTTTAGTTTCAATTGAATATAGCTAATTTGTTGAAATAGTTCCTGAAGCTTGAAACTGAAATTTTAGGAGCAGTAGTTGAAGAAAAAAAAACAAATTGTGCCGCTTATGTTGGAATGCATTATGATTGTGCAACTCACAAAGTACTGTAAATTTTCTAAGTCTAGTCTTCTAAAAATTAGCAACTTTTTCCAAAATAAAACCAATTGAAGAAGTACCACAATTTCTATTCTTCATAATAACTTTCACTAAATTTTTTCAGAGAGTGGTACGCTGCTCCCATGTTTTGAAGCCAACGCCGAATTTATATCTGAAAAGAGTGTATCTCTTGCTACCGAACACCTAATGCCCTGCGTCTTTAGGTTGAAAATCTGTTAACCAGTCTTGGAGAGATTTTGCACTACTTGAGAAATTCTCCTGTACACAGCACCTAATTGTATCGTTCGTCAACTGACTCCTCTCAGTGAAGAAGGCTATATTCTGGACACAGCAGCAGGACATCAGATGCATAGCTCCAGGTACTACCAACTCAAATCACAATTGAATTGAAGACTTGGAAGCTCATTTCTAAGTCCTATTGTTTTCTTACATCAGCAAATAGGAGTCCATTTACACCGGATGTCCATATTCCTGCAGGAAAGACAATAAAACAACAAAAAGATAAAAGAAAAACACCTCTGCCTCATAGATGACAGAAATCTAAATAGGTCTCACAACAATGAGCCTGTTCACCGTCCCCGAGGTGACTGTATAGAACAGTAAAGTTGTATATAAACTAAGTACAGCATATTTACAATACGTATGAACATCATAATGCCACCCATCATTGGATGAATACAGCGACTTCTCCACACAGTTAGGCGGTAAACAGGATGTTGAGACAAATTCTGAAGTGGGTTGAGAAAGAAAATTTGGAGATAATCACAAAAACCGATTTCAAAGACCAAGAGTGAGCTGCATGACGCTTCACAACATCAAACAACAAATGCAAAGGAAACCCAAGACTCAATCACAGAAGCACCAAAAAAGTCTGTAAAACAAAGATTTTATTAAGCATTGATTTCCTCAAGGATGTGCGGCCCAGGTTTACAAGTTGCGTAAAGTACAAGGCTCTAACAACGCACTCAAACATGAAAACAACTGAGGTGCAAGATCTCGATGACTGGGTTCTACCCATCCATGATGCAGCAACACATCCAGCAATCCAACAACATTATACGTCAGACCCCACATGAGAACTGACAAAATTTGAGGACAGCCACGAATAGAGGGGACCCCAGAAGGCCAAAAAATTCATTCACTAAGCACCTGAACTAATTACAATATCCATGATATTGATGATATCTAGCAAAATCTACCAAAACGAGACTTGACCACTGCCAATTCATCAGTGGTTGCTTGCCAACATTTTGTACAATAACCCTCAACTCTTCTCCTATACACAACATTACCGTTTAACTGGCTGCTTTGGTACAATTACTGGTGCAGCCTGCGAATCTTTACAAATTTGTGTACTGTAATTCAGTCTCAGAAAGAACAACACATAGGGGTGCAAGGCTTACTTTACCATAACAGCGAACATCTTCAAGGTGTTGATACCAGTTCTTGTCACTCTCAGTTTCCTACTTAACCCTATAGTTGAATTGACATCCGCTTCCTGCATTCACTAGGCTGTTACATGACACAGAGCACTACGTTAATAACCAAACAACATAGATCTCCAGATTATGATTGAACATCAACTTCAATATATGGAGAATCCAACATTTCAAATAAATGAATAATAAATAAATAAATCAAATTTAAGCGAAAGAAAAAGAGAATCATATTCATGTGCGCACCAAACAGTGAAGGAATTTACCATGAGATTTGGGTTGAAGAGCTGCTGCCATCACCCGAAGTTCACTTGCGACCTCAGAGAAGCTGGGCCTGGACGCAGTCTCCGCTGACCAGCATCTCTCCATTAGCGACTTCCAAAGTGGATCACACCAGGTAGGTATTGCAGGTCTCAAGGTATTGTTAACGATCCCTCCTGTATACAGAATATAAGAAATTTGTTTGAACAACTGCGTACGCTAGTGCTTTTTAGTGCAAGTGAAACGCAAAAGCCATAAAATACAACAGCTGAGCCAACAATCACTTCAAAGCCACCATGACGTTAGCAACATGATCCTCTACGCATTCATATACCGAGGAGGCAAAAACTGTGATAAGGTCATGAGAGGAATAATATGAATCGAGAGGTCAAACTCAAACCTATGATAGCTCCGTAATGCATATTCGCATAGGGCTCTTCTCCTGTGAGCAATTCCCACATAACTATTCCGAAGGAAAACACATCTACCTGCACGGATTTAGAGCACACGTACATAAGCCAAACAAAATTACACCCAGTGAATCACTGAAAAGGATAAGACTCATTATAAGCTAGCAAACAACAGACAGCATCCTCAGACATATGCATCGTTACAATTGCTTCTCAAGCAAACAGAAACAACTACATAACTAAAGGGGTATAAGAAACTAACACTATCTACACCAACAAAATCACTTACTTTCTCAGTAACCAGAGTGCTGCTTCCATTCAACAGCTCTGGTGCCATCCATGGTAGAGTCCCTCTGACACCACCTGACACCATGGTTTGATGTTTCACTTTTGACAGTCCTAAGTCCCCAACCTGGAGAGAATAAAAAAGAATAAAACCGCCACCGAATTTTGTCATATAGATTCAGTACAGAAAGCATGTTTTCGCTATGGAGGACACAGTAGAAAACTAGTATCCTGCAACAACTGTAGCTCATAATCTATACGGATTCTGGTATCTTGTTGGAGTCATACCTTACAAATAGGCCGATGAGGGTCTCTCATGTTAACAAGTAGATTATCACACTTCAAGTCAAAGTGCACAATGTTCTTACTGTGAAGGTACTCCATACCAAAAGCTGCATCCATCGCTATCAGCAAGCGCTTGCGGCGATCAATAGTTCTGATACACAAAGATACAACATAAATAAGAAAAGCACAAAGAGAGGACTTCACATTTTCTGATAAAAATGGTGACAAGCTATACCCAGTGCCCATTCATGAAGAAACTGAACTTGGATTCCTCAAAACAATACCTGTCTTTTTTCTGCAAAACCTGTTTCAGTGACCCATTCACCATGAACTCCGTTACTGTTGCAAGTGTTCCTCCCGGACCATCACGGACTACTCCATAAAATGCAACCACATTAGGATGATGTAACTGACTTAATGTGCAGGCCTCCCTCCAAAAATCAGCAATCTGCGGAAGACATCAACCACATGTTATTAACACAAGCAGATCAAAATGACATGGTAAAAGATTCGACGACATCCTGTAAAAGCTGATTCTAAAGTAGGAATATTCAGTTTGTTCATCCAATTGCGCCTAATGATCAGGTATTCATTGGATTAGTTGCAGATGCTGTACCAGACGATCTCTCTCTGCAGGCCGACCAGCAAAACAGCTGGCTTTGATTCGCTTGATAGCAACATCTGTGCCTCTCCATTTTCCATGATACACAGTTCCAAACGTACCAGATCCAAGCTCCCGCATTTCTTCGAGGTCGGCATTCAAGATAGTCTGCGAAAGAAGAACACTTAACCAGATCAGTTTGTGCTACCTTCGAAGAAAATTTTAGCAAAAACTACTACATCATCATTAGCACACCACAGCAATACATTGAATAGGACAGGACATGAATCACCTGCAGACCACTTCTGATGGCTTCAGCTTCAGCGTCCTCTGCAGTGCCCGAATTACTGGAGCCCTTCTTCAAGTCCTCATGATTAGAAGCTGCAGCCTCAGCAGCAGGCTCCTGAAATCGAACAACCGTTATTTTTTAAAAAAAAAGAACCAGAAGTTGCAAGAAGTACAGGTGTGTGGCAGCCCTTTGACCAGCTGAAAACAATCAAGGATTGTCTAGAATTCTTTAAAGCTCACCTCAATCGTTGGCTCCTCCTCCGCTATTGCAGGAGAGTGAAAATCCAAATCTTTATCCTGGATTATAATATCTGGAGTACCGGTTGGATCGTCATCATCTTCAGCACTAACATCATTGAGGTTCTGCACAGCGTCCCAGTTAGACGCACCGAAGGTGGGAGCATGGCAAAGATTGGACGGAATAACAGCAGTAGAATCTTGAGAATAAGGAAGCCAATTTCCCTTATCCTCTGCCCGTAAATTGTTTGTGGACGGCAGGGGTACAATCATTTCCCGCGTCGAGCTAACTAGAACTGAAGATGCCATGTCCTCGGCAAGGTGCCCGGCGGCAGAAAGCTGTGACGTAAAAAGTTTATTATCCTTCCTCCCAAGGTCTGCATTCTGCCCTATCAATCCACTAATGTCAGTTTCGGATATCCTTGGAATTATGGGTCCTGGCTTAAAAAGCAGAGAACCCATAGAGGTGGCTTCCTGCTCAGTAATAGAAGTACCCACCGAGGCACTTGTGTTGGCAGATACACTTGGGATGGTGGGAATGGATAACTCCGTCGAAACCTTAATTGAAAGGGGGGGGATGGTGAAAGATGTCACTCTGGTCGTCACAGGTTGCATAACCTGGGCTTGAGCTGTTGAAACTGAAAGCTGAGCTGTGGGTGGAGACATTCCATTAGTCAAAACCAGATTATGAAAACTATAAGTACTTGAACCAATCTCCTCTTTCGCTAACGTGCCATTGCCTTGAGCGATGATTGAATTAGTATGCGACCGCTGCAAGGCAACCTCGTCAGAAACATCCATCCTAGTTCCACTTGAATGCCCGCTTTGCCGACCTTGTGTGATTCCTGAACCAGATGAACGTTGAAAACAGTCCTGGTTATTAGTCCCATCACGTGTTTGCAAGGAAGACTCTACCCTTGACTCATTCGCATCATTAAGACCTCTCCATCGCAGTTCAGCAGGGTTTGTAGGCTCGGCATTTCCGAGTCTTGTACTTGATGTACCAGAGAGATGAGAGACCAAACTATTGTAGGCACCAACAGCTGCCTTATCATCCGTATCCTTTTGAGACGCCAATTGGTTGAACGAAGTTTCAGAGTGCAAATGACTCGCTTCTGTTACTGCAGGTTTGTCCTCAAGAACTGGCAGAACTTCCACAGATCTCGGCAGCGACTCCGCGAAAAATCCTGGTTCGTTTTTCCGTCCAGCAAATGAAGGAACCTGGGGCAAATCCACAGCTGATTGACCAAGAGCGGACGGATGAGTGGTTAATGCATGTGACTGACTCACAGTACCCCTAGAATGCTGATTACTTGCACCCAGTGACTCTACTATCTCACCATTCTTGTGTAAGTAGGAGTCCGACATCGCAAGGAGATCGTCAGAATCTTCAGGCGAATGAAAAAATCCTTCTCTAGGTGCTTCCAAGTCTGCACCACCACCATCATTGCCATGTTCATTCTGGCCTGTACGTGCCCTCCCACTACGCCAAGTCCTGATCTCTTCCACATCACGACCACGTTGTTGTACAACCCAATCTTTTGGTTTGTCCTGGAACCTTGAGGGTGCCGTAAGTGGCTCAGCTGAGGGAATATTGTGGTCTTGAAAGTCCTCTCGTGCATTGAAATGCGAGGACTGGTACGACTGCTGAGGAATCCGCTCTCTCTGGCGCCTTCCATCCCCGCCATCTTGTATTTCTGAGTAGTTAGACTCTGAAAAGCCGCTAGGGCCATCTTGAAATGGATTGTGGCCTAAGTACTGGGGGACTTGGCCTCTAGTTACTCCTTCTGCATATTGACCGTGTCCATTGGTATGATCATCGTACAAAAAGAATTCCTGTTGAATTGCATCCGAATTCAGATTTACTGGCTGCTGAAGTGGTCGAAGGAGTCTATCGTCACTTTGTCCAAGATGATCCCTGTAGCGTGGAGGTGAAGTGGCAGGCCTCAACCTAGTTGTGCCATCACTGTGCGTATGGTGTCTAAGGTTATGCTGCTGTGACTGCTCCACATGATTTGGTGCACCATACGTACGAAGAACCTGCTGAAGCTGCGATTGCGGCTGCATGTTCGGCGGATGGAACCTTGGAGATGACGGGGCAGACCCTGCTCCAACATTGTAAGAGCTTACAGCTGTGGAACCAAGAGGACCGACTGTGTTGCAGACAGTTGCAGACACAGACCGGTGCATGAAAGGAGCAAAAACCTCCTCCCCCTGAACTTGACTATGGTGTTCCACTGGTCGATATATGGGCTGGTCGATAGGCGAAGCTGACAATACGTTTTGGAAAGGAACCCTAAAGTGAGGTTGTTGTTGTTGCTGCTGCTGCATAGGCGCAATCGGCTGCACCATCACATCGCTCGTTGGCTGCATGTACTCCACCCGTCTGCCGTATAAATGCGACTGATCTTCGAACAAGTGTGGCGGCCAACCGCCCTGTTGCTGTGATTGCTGCGTCTGCTGGTAGCTGTGACGTTGTCTGGTAGACGAAGTCGCCTCCGAGTGCTGTTCAGAGAGGCGCGTCAGTTTACCATGAGAAGGCACGCGGGGCATACGAACCTCAGGAAGACGACGTAAATCATCACGGGCGGCAAGCTCCTGTTGACCGCCCAGAAAATCACCCTCGTGTTGAATCATCCTAGGAGACTCGGATCCTCTATGCATATCCAAGGTGTTATATACGTGCTCATGCACGTTTGTACCAGTGACCAAATTACCTCCGTAATTTTCTGTCTCAAGAACATTTCCATCTACTTGAACAACATTATATTGGTGCCCGCTCATGTTGGGATGTTGATCAGGGTGGAACGGAAGGCGCATCTCAGGTATCAAGCCCGCCTGTTTTAAAACCCTAGGTAGAAGTGGAGGAGATGAGGGAGCAGAGGACGGAGCAGATGCTGGTGGGATAGAGGAAACAGGTAAGGCAACTGGCACATGGTGGATCAAGGAGGCAACATCCTGAGATATCTGAGGTGCTAACAAAGCCACAGGTACACTATCTTGTGGCCGATTAAAGCTCCAAGGGTCACCACCAACATCAATCAAGCTGTCGAGGACAACAGGCGCAACTGCAAGCGAGCCTCCGTCTCCTGAATGCTTTCTAGAACCTATCTCAGAAACACCATTAACCGCATCAACATAACGTTGTTCGGTATTCCTCTGGTCTCCCAAGGACTCATTGAGATGCACAGAATCATGATCCATGTCAGAAAAAAGAAAGATGCGCAGTCTTGGAGAAGCTTCGGATGCCTGAAGCCGATCGTACTCTTCCATCATGTTCGCAAGATCTTCATTCGAAGAAACGGAAACCAACGCATCCAGATCTTCTTCCGGTAATTTGTATTTGATAGTATGGAAATGAGAAAACAATTCTCCCATCTTCAGCACCAGTTCATGATAGCTGATGTCCCGACTCACTGTAATCAGTCTGGTTTCTCCTCCCACGTAACGCAGCTGGTTATCTGTCGGCCTTGGTAAGATTTTACCACCATAACTGCACAACAATTTCACGCGATGGAAGGAATACTCTTCTGAATGCGTAGATAATTCATCTGGCGTCACTGCTTCCATCCACCATAACACAGTAGCATTAGTCTTCAAACAACTTTAGCACTCACAAAAAGGGCCATACTTTCACAGTATTCAGACATCCGAACTGCTCGCCAACTCTACCATATGTCAAAGCTCGTTCTACGTTTTAAGTTAACTAACAAACCCCTACTAAAATCGGGAGGGTGTAGGTCAATTGATCCATAAGCGAATGCTTGAATGGTGCATTCATCATTTGCACGATACCACTTCAGATGAACTTAGGCAAGACCGAGGAGTGTTCAACGTCAATCAAGCCAACAGAACGTCGAATCGCACTGCAGTATTGTCCAAGCCCAGTCCTAGGCCAGCACAAAAACATCCTCTTAACTAGATTGTTAATCAAGAGCCTTAGATATGAATTTACTCACCGTCGTTAAAATTCGTCAGCACATTTAAATGTGCCTGTGGATAACCAGCATGCTTCCTTCGTCTGCTGTGAGACATTGGTGAGCCGTCCTGTGTCAGATCCAGAGCATCCTCGTCTTCTGAGAACGGAGACATGTCTGTAAGATGAGCTCCTGCCCCTCTCAGTTTCTGAAACGTTGGTATAGATCCTTCCGTCGAGGGGTAGACTAGATCACCAACAGCTATACTTTCCATTGATGAAGGGGATCCTTCCTCAGCACCTGGCTGCCAAGCTAAAACCGAGTGACGCCTGCTGGAAGGGCCATTGTGCAACGACTCTTTCACACTCTGATCCATTGGTGAAGGCCGCAAAGCCCGATCTCCAGAATGCTCTTGAAGATGCCCTCCCGTCTGTGAATTGACGCCTACTTGCCGGGCCATAGGGACAATCATCAGTGTTCCAAGTTCCAGTCCTCAATGCTGAACTCCCTACTGCATGTCCCTCTAATCGTTTCCTGTAATCCTTATAATTACGACTAAATCTCCAATTATTTAATCGCGGTTGTCTTTTTTGCTGTTATACCTCATCTGAAATGAGCGAGATGAGAAAGATCAGAATATCAAGAACCCGGTCTTGAAAGTATGAAGCTCCCTGACAGAAATGCAGAATGGATATCTCCGCAACCTAAACAAAAGATCAGACAAGTCGGAAGGGGGGGGGGGGGTAAAGGAAGACTAGGGTTGAGAGAGAATGACAATGGACACAAATAGCAGAGCGAACAATCAACCCTACGGCAATTCCCTGCAGCACTTCCAAAATCCTCACAAGAGTGGGAACGCGGGGGCACACCAAGAGATCACAAGGACCTTCGCCAGCAGCAACTACGATTCCCTCAAAGTAGAGACGAAACGATCAAGCCCCTGAATGAAAAAGCAACGTCCACACTCAAGGCTCCAACCGGAATATGAAACTTCTTGCCTACCAGAGAATCCACCGCCGCATCTACGAGAATAAAAAAAACGGACGAATGTGCGGCACACCAAGACGCTGACCAGGTCGTTTAACCCCCCCTTCCCAAACTCCAATCAAACGAGCATGCAATCAAGCTTCAACGACCGTAACATCAACCACAGCATATCTCCGCAACTCCATAGCTCCATGTGATGGGCAAGAAACTTCCGTCCAAATCACATCGCGCATACCCCCGGATAGGTTCTCAAACTTCACCAAAAAGACTCTCGCACAAATCACACCTCGCCGCACAAACGACCCCTAAATCGCCACGCCAAATCCCCGAAGAAACACAAAACCTTAGCCACACACACACTCTCTCTCTCAGCCACACTCAAAACATCCCCGCAAACTTCTCCAGCTCCCTTGCCTCAATCCTACCAAAACCCCGCAACGTTCACATCCCTTCCTACTGCAACGCCGCCAACAAACCCCGTCGTCGCACCTCTCGACCGCGCCCGGACCCGGGCTAACTACTCACTCGCGGATCGCTTCCCTCGGCCAAATTGTATCAGCACTGCCTCATGAGGAGACCCCTATGGTAATGATCCATCACAGAACGAGAATGTCAAGCTCCACTTCTAAGAACAGAAGAAAAAAAAATAAAAAGGCCAAACAGTTTTAGCCAAAAAGAAAATTCAATTTACAGAAATTACAAGAAAAAAAAAAAAAAAAAAAAAAAAAAATCACAGGAAGCACGGCTGCCTGGCTCCTCGCGTAAAGATAGCGATGGCGATGCGTTGTTGGAGATGTGTTGCCATACTTGCTTCGTTCTCAACTTCGCTAACCTCTCTTGTGGTCCGCTTGCCTATGACCCCATCACCGCTGCACCCCCTATGCCTCCATTGCCGCGCATGCGCGAGCCCATTCGTGTCGAGGATCCCATTGCATGGCCATCCATCCATAAATGAGGGTTGCACGGCCGCCAGAGCCCGTGGACCAGGCCAACCCAGGGGCCACACGCACTTCTGTTGCCACCGCCCGCTCCCTCCCGCTCCCCTCCGCTCCCCAGCGTTCCCAAAAAAGGATGTGGTTTAGGACGACGGGGTGGCGGGACCACAGTGGGGAACGTTGGGAACATAAAGTGTGTGTGGGTGTGTTCCCATGACTTACACACACACTGTGGACCTGAAATATGAAGCCCTGCAGGCCTCTCTTCCTCCAATTCCGGTCCCCTTAAGGCATTCATTCATTCATTGAGGCTTCGATTTAAATTTCGAGTAGACTACTAGAAGAATGGCACTGCAACTGCAAATCACATGCAGTTAACCCAAAGTGCAAGGTACGGTGGGTCCTTTCATCCATTTGAGTATTTGTATGGATGAATGTAAATAAATCTGTGTAAGCTCGATGTTTGTGACTCATGCTGATTGGAGGAGCCATTCCCTGCAGACCATTCACTAATTTAAATTAAAAAAAACAAAAACAAAAACAAAACAAAAAGTTTGTGTTGTTTGTCTTGTCCATTTCAAGCCGTTTAATATTCCGTTATATTCTGTGGAAAAACAAAGGAAAAAGCTTGAAAGTTGGATTTGATAGATTACAATTACATGGATTTGGGTCGATGGTGGTACATGCACAGTAAAGCAAACACATCCCAATGGTCTAATAGTGAGGGCGTACAAAAGGGGGCCGACACAACCAAAACCCGACGGGGGGATGTTCAGGCGTAGTGACAGATGGACAAACGAATCAGCCCAACTGGCAGGCCAGCGTGGCTTTTGTCTGCCAGGGAGGACAAGAAGGAAACATAGACCTCGCTGGCTGGCTGGACCCCTTTGACTGTGTCCACGGCAAGCATCGGTGGAGGAGGTGACTTGTGACCACACCATGCCACTGGCCCAGGGCCCATTACCGTGGAAGGCCCCCCCCCTTGGGAAAACGGGGGGGGTGAGGGGAAGGGGGTTATATTTTATTATATTATATTTGTCCTTGTTTGGGGCCTAACCCCATATTCCCATTTGGCCCAACCAACAACAAACAAGCAGAATGAATCATTCTAGGCTCAGCAAAATATCCATACAAAAAATATATATGTTATTATTTTATTTTATTTTATTTTTCACAATTTCATCACTGAAACCCAATAAATTATACCATATGTCTTCGCCTTGACGTCATTGTTACCACATTGGTCATGACACCCAACTACTTTCTTTTGTCAAGCATGATATTTTGGGAATGATAACTAGCTAATTTATTTTTGTTCTTAAGAATAAGAATAATAACACTCGACTAGAATGTTTTTTTGGTAAATATGCTGCATAAATTATGTATCGTTTGGTTTCATATTAAACTATTATTATTGTTCCTGTTGTTGTTGCTACTACAACAATTAACAAGAAACTCTTGAATTTGGCTATGCATCATCCACTTCAAGTTAGCTAAACAGATTTTATAATGTAGTTTCCGAGTTTGTTTATGTTTGTTTCATATTAACAACTTAAGTTTAAAATCTTATTTTTTTTATTAATTCTTATTTTATCTCTATGGAAAGTTAGATTTTTTATTTTTATTCTTTTTTCCAGTTTTACTGTGGGTCCACATGACTTCTACGGCACATTGATGTGAATAATTTCTTCAATGAATTATGAGCGACACAAAAATACCTCGATGTATAGCAATATTTAATGATATTGGTGTAGAATCACATCTCATTACTATTCCTTATAATTATATTCTTCGGTACTGAAAAACCTTCACTCACGTTCCAAAATGGCGAGATTAATCTAATTGTAATTCTAATTCATTTATAACCAAATCCCAAAAAAAAAAGATTGCTATTCCAACATCTATAAATAAACGAGAATATAATACCAATCCCTATAGTATCTTGGAATGAAATTTACAATCCACAACTTCTTTTTTCATTTTCTATGTCATGGTTGTTTCAATTGCAAAGGTATAACTAAATTTGATTTGACCAAGACTGAGTTGAGCCCTAAATAATTTCATAGAAATGTGCTAATTTTCTTATCTCCCAATTGTCCAGTATTTAGTACACAATTATTCAATTTTCAGAATTCACATGATGAATACACTCATATGTATATAACAAAACACTTGTGTATTATTCCAATATGTCCAATAGTAATGGTTATATATATATATATATATAGGGAGAGAGAGAGTGAGGAGAGTAAAGCATTTGTTTTTTTTGAGATAGTATATTTCGTTTTATGGTTTATCCTTTGTACTAATTTTTGATTAACTTGCTATGTACTCATACAATTGATGGTAGTGTACTTGTTGTAATATGAGATTGGTCAAAAAATAAAACAAATGAAATATAAATATATATATAAATTATTAATATATAAATTGATATATTGTATAGTGTTAAGGTAGACATGGAGTTTAAGGTTTGTGTGTAGGACAGATTTTGCAATGCATTAGTGAGCTCAGCCGGAGCATACTGTACATTGGGTGTGGCATCAATAAAGTTGTGAGTGAGAGAATTCTCCCATGGATGTCGCTTTTAAAGAAGTGATCCATGCACATATCATGTCTCTATACATCTAATTTTTTTGTTGTTATTTCTGTCATTGTAAATATGCATTTATTTATTTATTTATTTTTGTAACAATTTTACTTAATTTGATTGAGTATTTATTTAATATCAATTAAAGGTAATCGTGTCACAATAAAATTATATGAAATTACTTAGTGCTTTTGATAAATTATTTTGATTTACATTGAAAATATTTATAATCAAAATTAAGACAATTTTTCATATATATATATATATATATATATAAGTATGTAGGTAACTATTTAATAATATACTTAAGAATTGTTTTTTTTTATTTCATTAAGATATGGGCATTCTTTTAAATAAATAATTTATATTTGATAAATCAAAATAATAACCATGTTTCATTTTGTTGTCATTTTTAAAATATTCAAAAATAGATCTTTATTTTTAATTAAAAAAATATTTAGATGAAGTTCATATGAATTTTTTTTTCATAAATCAGTTTAATATATGTTTTTTAAGATTTTAGAAATTAGTATTATAAAAAATTATCAATAAGTTAGAATAATATTTTTTGTAGAAATCAAAATAAGTTTGTGGTTAAAATAAAATAAAATAAAATACAATTTATGTATTCCATCTTAAAAATATTGAAGATAGAATAATTTACATGGTTCAAAATTGTGTTGTTTTCTAATACATGTTACTGAAGAGAAACATAATTATTTTATTAACAATTATTAAAATCAATGAAAACAGTTTTTTGGTAGAATTATAATTCCTGCACAACTTTTTAAAAAAAACTGTCCAAGACAAAAAAAAAAAAAATAGGTAAAAGATCTCATAAGATCATAAGAACCAAAGATTTTTATTGCACTTTTCAAAAAGAGAAGTGTAAAATTGATTTTTATTTTTAAATTAAAGAAAAACTTGATCTAACACCTTATTTGAAGATATTGGTAGAAAGTTTTTAAAAAATAAAGGTTTAAATATTTTAAAATAGTTAAAATTTATTTTTTTGTAAAATATTTTCATCTATTTTAAAATAGTGCAAATTCTAATAATTTTTACTTATAAATTAGCTATGATTTAATTTTTTCAAAATAAAGTCACACCACAATATTAAAATATGTAATTATCATAATTTATTTTATAAATATTAAGGTTATTTTTTTGTACAACAACTACTGGTTTACAAAAACTAAACTCATCTCTTTTTATTATTTTAATAGTTTGTAAATATATATATATATATATATATATATATATATATATATTATTGTAAAATACCGAAGTTTTCTCAAAACATGTTGGTTCAACAAATATCATTAGATGTACAATATGACTGAATATACTTCTTTTACAATTTTTTAAAATTTCAAAAACCTCTATAGAAGAATCTCACAACATGATACTTGTTTTATAAGCCTTGTGGTTTTTAGAAAGTTTCTAAAAATTTATGTTATTAGCTTGTATACAGAGAAGCAAGAATTATGTTCCTATTTGGACATATTAATATCTCTCATATTTTCCAATTTTGAGTGAAGAAACTTTTTCCTTTTTGTAAGTTTAACGAAATTAATAATATATTTGAAGTGAATGAAAAAACTACTTGGAATATATTATGAGATTTTATTGAATTTAATCAAATATCTCGATATATATATATATATATATATATATATATATGTGTGTGTTGATAGTAAATCAACTAATTAGCATTAAATCAGTAGATAAAATTATGTCAATTTCACACATTAAACATGGGTAGATTATATACATTTAATCTTATAAAAATTATTGATGGTATTAGAATTACAATCTTGTAATTTAATTAAAAAAAGAAATGAATACAGGTATTTTGATTGAGAAAAAAATTATATGTGCAAAAAACCATAAAAAAAAGATCATAAAAATATTAATGTGCATTTTATAACATATTAATTAAATATTTATCAATTAAAAACTTAAATATTGATTCAAATATTAAAATTACAACAATGTCCATAAATTCTTTTGACAAAAAATATGTTGCTAGTTGAGATACTATATATATATATATATATATATATTCATTAATAATAATAAAGTACAAATTTTGCATAAAAGATAAAAAAGCAAAGTAATATAGAAAGGACACAAACAAGCTCTATTGATAGTCGAAATTCTTTTATATTACTTTCATGGTGTGTAAACTTAAGTTTGCAAGAGATGGTTTAAAAGCATAATAACTATAATCAAAATCAAAGTTTACTTAGAGTTCAAAAGAAATGTCTTTAAAGTAAGCAACGTCTTTAAAGTAAGAGATGTCACTGAAACAAGATGTTAACTAAAAAGACTCAAAAACAATATATTGAATTTGAAGTGGGAAATTTGTTTGAAGGAAAAAAAAATTAAAAAAAAATAAAATAGAAAATGAAAGAATGAATCGAAGGAAAAAGAAGTGAAAGAAAATTTACATAAAACTACAAATCAAAGTAAAATAAAACAGACTGAAATTCTCTAGAATAGATTTCTTGCTCTAATGCACAAGTACAAATGTAGAGAACTTTAGACCCAATCAAAAATAGGGCCAATTGATTTAGCCTTGCTAGAAACAGTGGGCGGTAGAGCTTCGATGTTGTAATCTAGTCGTCAACCTGAAATTAGGCTACCACCACTATGGGACTCATTTCTGTGGCTGGATTCATTGCAGGTGAAGGAAGCCATGTTCATGTCTAGTTGAGATCCAGTAGACTGTCAAAAGAGAGAAAAAGAAGACAAACAAGCCAAAAGCTGAGGAGGAGGAACGGGTAAAGAGGTTTTTGGCTTTTCAGAAGAGTGTTTTTTTCTGCACCGCTATAGCACAATTTTTTCACTGGTTGAGAATCAACACACCTGCAAATGTCTGACAAAGCAGCGCCGTGTATGGCCACCAGTGAAGCATCATGTGGGCTGCAACGCTGCTGACAGAGGCCCACACGGTCGCATCCTGGATGCCAAAAGGACTCCTTCTTCCCAAGCAAGACCATTTCTTGGTGTAAAATCTGAAAGGATTTGGACATGAGAGTGATATGGCACGGACTTATCTGCTGCGAAGTTTCAGTTCCGCGAGGTGGAAACACAATTTTACTTTGGATGCAGGTTTTGAGGTTTGGTTACTCAAACCTCAACCTCATGGAGATCCAAATAACATGCAGTTGCTTAATATTTGCACTGTGGAAATATAGGAGTATGTGCCATGGATGGGATAACAACGGCTGCAGAACCGTGGAAGCGAATGTGCCAAACACAGTCAGTGACAAACGCAATTAAGCTTCAAGATCAGGATTGAGTAATCAGGTCAAATGATTCTTGAGGGATACCTGTGTTTGTGGCGTCAGTAGCTAGGCCCAGTCACTCTTCTCCAGATGATAAGAGTCCCTGTGTTTAATCTGTATGAATGGAAATGGATTCAGCAAGCTGGGTACGGTTAAACCCTATAAGATTCTGCGAGAATAACGTGGCCAGGTCTTCCACCTCACACCATTAGCACTTTCTTCCACACATCTGGGAGACAGAGTTCGAATTCTTTCTTCCCAGACTTGTTTACTCATCCACAGGAACGAAGTGATAAACCATCATTGTGAAGCTGATACAAGATCTGCGATCTGTCCCTTTGTGAGGGATTGGATCTACAATGTTTAAGTACGCCACAATTACCCCTTCATCTGCAGCAGAGTCAATCATATTCATTCGGCGGTATACCAGCGAGTTTTGGCAGGCCTCACTCTTTCCTGCTCAACTTGGAATCTGCGGGATACACGGCTGGGGAATACCTTCTGAACGTATTTTTAACCTAGCTGTATAAATCCCATAAGAAACAGCTGCTTCGTATGAGTCTGGTGCTGGTTCTGAGATCGAAACCCAAAATGACTTAACTGAGGCCTCTTGGTGCTATCAGGCCTAAGCCCTGTGAAGGCATTGCCGCAGTGAATGTTAACGTAATGTCCCCAGTTCAGCTTGTGCCAGTTGCTGGTGAAAGTAGAGGCACCCCTACACTAGCGAGAATTTTCCTAAAGTTATTATGACATGACAATGATACTGCATTACTCAGATGTGCTTGTAACCTTTGAGTCCGAATAGGTACCAGCTTTGTAAGAGGTTCTGATCCGAAGTGTTGTAAAAACGTACCCGTTTGTAAGGCTGACCCTAATCATCACATCGACAAGTTCAGCAAGCTTTTTGCAAATTTCTTCCTTGAGGTAGGAAGGTATTTCTAAAACCGGGTTCGCGCTGCCATACAACTTTCTCCAAGATATACATTAGAGGTTACGTTTGTATGCAAGTTGACCTATATCATTCAGAAAAACTATATCGCAAGAGTCTCGAACATGAATGAATGAAGACAGTTCGGTTTTCTTTTTAGAGGCGACTAGAATGATCAACAGACAATATCACTGGAAGCAAATTGATATAGTCTGACTGATGCATCAAGCGAACATGAAGTCCGAAGAGTCTCGCCTTTTCGCACAGAAGACAAGGCAAGCATCAACATTGATAGCAGAAGCCATGAATACTCTAGGAACTACAAACACTCTCCCGACAAAAATTACCCGCTTCAATCGTCACCAAACAGTAGAGCTCTTACTGTCTGCTTCAATGAGCACGTGCCAGAAAGGAGGTTGGAACCCACAATAATTGTATGTGATCACAAACTGAGATCTACACCGCCCCCTCTGCGTGGAGAAAGGTAATACAAAACCAAGGAAACAATACGTAACACGACAGTGCCATGTGTGGGATACAAAAGTTAATTCAAATTTATCAGAAAGGATCCATATCCTGTCATTGATTTGGTGGGTAGAACGTCTTCACCATTAAAAGCGTACACAAAAAACTCAGGCCAGGGTGACGAAGAGTTATAAGCTCCCTAGTAGATTTCTCCGTCCCGAATCTACAACGATAGCTCTCCACAAGCCCTCCTAAATTGTCATAGAACCTCCCGATTTATGGTGTGCGCGTCACTTGCATCTACAGCTCCCAGACCCTTCATTTAAATGCCTAAAATTTCCAGCTTCCAGACCCTGAAACGACGCTTTGGATTGGTGACGATGGATTCTGCTAGGGGAAAATTCCGCAGTCCCTACAATGCCTCGATGACAAGCCTATCAAATCCAACCATGTACAATATTAAACCTGATCAGGGAAATACTACGTACTTACACAATCAATTAATACGTGAGACACAAAATCTCTCAACCATTTTGTCCATCTTCCGACAATGTAGCTTGTGAAGTGTAGTGGGTTGATCACATGGAATCGTATATGCTTCCGGAGGCCCACCACTCCATAATATGGCCATTCCTGTGAGAGACTACAATCTAAGTTAGAAATACAGTAAGACTATGGATGACGCATATGTCTATGGATCCAACTAGACTCTGATCTTTGTAAGCAGTATGAATACTCAGATAGTAAGAGACTGTCACCAAACAATGCCAATAATCAAGAAATTGTTCTACCAGTGCTAACAACCGAAAATGTTTAACATGAGTCAGATCATATCCATGATCACAAAATTAATTGCGCTGAAAGCTTCACTCCGCGTTGATGTATTTCATGAAAAAAACAAAAATTTAAACCTTGAAAGAGAAGAAAAAAAGGGCATTCCTGCAAAGCCGAGGTGAAGAACATGACGACGAGCAATATCGTAATAGCAGGGAATTGATTTGATCTACTTTAAGCCTGGTCGCAATTTCCTTCGAGGCCCACCTATGTTTCTCTACTCTCACAGTAAGTCCTCTCACGGAAACAATTGCACCCATAATTATGTTCATTGTGCAGAGACAGTGACCCACTTTGGGCTACAAACGCTTGTACATACCCGGCATCAGCCACACTGACATGCACGGTTACAACTCCAGCAACAAAGACTTCTTCATCACCGATGGCTACTGCTTGCTGCAGAAATCTTAAAATAGCGGAGAGGATCTTAATCATTAAAAAATGGCCAACAACATCGCATTTACACATGACTTCGGGAGAGATTACCCATGTCTAACCGTCCCATAAGACAATCCCTCAACCTTTGACCATCCCGGATATCAGGAACTCAGACTCGTCTACGTAAATATGCGAGACCATCGCCTGCGAATTCAGAATGGTGAAGACAGTGTACTTACTGAGCACGGTCCAAGTGTAATAAACGATTCAAGGCTCGGGAATTTTGCAGTGAAAGGAGGACCGGTTGATCAAGAGGTCCCGAACACTATTAGATGGTGTTGAGGAAACCTTGGTTCATGTACATGAACAGGGTTACTCACCAATCTGATGTCAGCTTTGCAGATCACATCCTTCTTGGACTCAACAACTGTCTCACTGCGATTCTTTCAACAGCAATTTTAAACCGTTTACTGCTGGCTGCTGCAACATGTATTGATAGTGCTACAAGATACTAAAAAATTGGTGGCGAGAATTTCTTCATTACTATTAAAGTCATTACAAATAACAGATAACTCTTCTACAGTAAGCTTCATCATACAACGAAGTCGGACTGATACACACGAGCTTTAAATGAAGATCACTTTGGAAATTTGAGTACCTTAAAATAAAAAGAATACACGAGCCTGTTCCTGGAAGTAGGACACACAGTTATCTAGAGGGAATGAAGAGACGGCCTCTTGCTGACGATCACGATTTCTTGAGTAACTTTACCCGTAGTGCAGTGCAATCAGTTAATTATGCACGCAGGTATGATAAGGAATACTCGAACAGCTTACCCACAAAACATGTTGAAGATAAATGCTAAGAAGCAAGGACAGATCGCAGAATTGCACGTACCTAATGCTAAAAGCCAAATCAGCATTAGACGAAAAATGGAGAAATGCTTAACGTCGCGCTCACCTCAGGACTTTCCTCAAGTCAGTTGAATCTGAACTGCTTTACACATCGGGTGTACTTGACTTCCTTAAGCAAACTACTTAGAATTGCGTTCACAGAATGTGTCCTTTTATTTCCAGAAATAAATCCAGGTATCGTTAGAAGAGAGGACCCTCGAGAATCCAGTGGCTTACCCCACAAAACCATTAAGGTAATCGAAGTCTTGTTTTAGAAGTGCTGACCACCTTTGGACATGGAAGCATTTAAGGAGAAAAGAGAAGCTTCAACACTCACCCACCACTGGTCTGAGCTAATCTGCTTTTGATTTTTCTGGCATGCAGCCTGAAAATGACAGCAAGTCTGATGTGATGACTAAATGCATATATTTTTCATGAATAATGTCATCAATGACTTTGCACGCAAGTAATTCTCAACAATTCCAGAATTGATTTCCAACCGTTTATTGAAATGTTCAAAAGGACTAGTCTAACAGGAGGATCAATACGGAAATTCACTCCACATAAGATGCTATCTTCTATGATTACGTCTCACGTAACTTACATCAAGATGGTGCTGACGAAAACCTCAGTAACGCAGATGGAATACCGTTTATCGAAACATGCGTAACTGTGCATGTAGAGAAAGTGACTGTCTTGAATCCAAGACTTATTTGCAGAAACGCAATGGAGGGTAGAAAGAATCGACGGTTCTTGTTAAACCATGTTTGTCGCTGGGTTATGGGAATAATTAGACAATAAAAACTGAACTCAACAAATTATCTCCAGATTTTAGCACTGCCAAAACTTGTGACTGCAACGGTGGTACGAAATCTTCAAGTTGCACCCCAAAATTTGGTGCGCATCGCTTTCTCTTTAGCCTTCAGTCTAGAATCTTCAGTCACGTATTCTTGTGAGTCGTCCAAACAACCTACGCAATTTGAGAGTCTATTAATGGTGAGCGTTTTACCCACGAAAATGATTCTATATGGTTTAATTACCCACTTTCAAAGAATAACTTCTTTGCATGGATAGGCTCCGAAAATATCTAATGTCTGCGAAGAATCAGGCCAAGTGCGCGTGACAGAAGTTGAGCTTTACTTTGTTCTTAACGAGCTCTTCATTTGTTGCGGACACAGAGAGCCACGAGATGAGAGCCCAAAGAGAGCCACGATGAGGGCCCAAGCGGGATTTATGACCTCTGGTGGCCGAGATTAGGGTCTCAAAATTGGACCTAATGCAAGTGCCCCCAGATTAGCCGAAATTAAAGCATACAGCTTCTACAACATCCGCTCCAGTCGTAATGTATTTTCTGCACGATGATGATGATGTAAATAATCGACTGCTCTGCGGAGATCGTTTATATTTCTGTCCCCCGCTCAAGGAGTATGCTGAAGACTTCATTGCGAGCATTTTGAAGAATAATTGAAGTTGGTCTAAATGCTAGTACGAATCATTGTTCAAAACTTTTGCAATCTTCGTCCCGCAACTGTCCATTACGAAATCGTACTTTTGCTTAAAAATTCATTGTTGTCCGAGTCCTGGCTTTTCCCCTCCCAGGAATTTAAGGCAACAGCTGTCTGGAGTTAATGGCTCCATAAATTTATATAGATTACGCTTGAGCGAAGGATCAAATGAATACACCGTGACGACAAACAAAATACTCGATTCGGAGAGAGAGCTACAATGTGACCGTTGGAAAATACTCAAATTATATACACAAAATCGACATGTATGAACAAAGCACGAACGAGTCAGCTTCTTGAGAGGAGCCAAACGCAAACGTCTCTCACTACCTCCTTCCACTTCCCAGAGAGACTGACTCAACTTGCTGAGACCGTCATCTTGTAATGAAAGCAGCAGATCCGAAACTACGCCTACGATCTCCATTCCCCGCAATAAACCACTATGATCAGCTGCAAAGACAGCATTGTACTATTGCCGTCGTAAAACTGATTACATTCAAAACCAACCCGAATTTGGATTTTACAGTTCTAATTAAAAGACTGATTCAAGTGAAATTAAATAGAGAAAGACGAAGTATAAGAAGAAGAAAGGTGTGCAAATAGCTCGAGAATAGCCACCAAATCAAGACGCAACCTAGATGCAAAAACCCTGCACTCTACATAAACCCTCGAAAACACAACAGAAACTCGAATCCTACCGCCTTCATAAACTATCAACAGCGCCTAACGTTACGGCCACCACAAGAACGATAGAATGACTCCGCTGAAAGAGGAAATTGAACCTCAGCAAAGCACACAACTATGAGATCGAGGCCATCGTAAACACACACTACAACGAAAAGGCACTCCGGTGTTTCCTTCAATCGCCGTTTTGAATGCAATGCTCCGAGGCCGCCCTCAGAAGCTCCGAAACTGGAGACAATGCCTGAATAAATGAATGAATTACACTATCGTTTATTCATCGTCGTTGTGAATGGGTCCTCGACTTCGTTTATTCATTCGTTTGATAGTCGTTCGTTGGTTTGTTTATCGTTGGTTCGTTTGTTTGTTCGTTGTTCATCACTGAGAGAAAATATCTGTCGAGAAAATATCTCTTGATTGTAGCTTTTGACGCTGCGTATGTATACGAGAAGCAGCTGGTGATGAGGCACAAAAAACTCAAATGAGACTATTTATACTATTCACTCAAAAATCAAAATATTGAAAAAATATACACCTCGCAAATAAACGACTATAATTATTTTTGCAATAGTATTCATACTTACTTTGGATTGTGATACAAATGTACAGTATTAAACATGATACATGGTGGGAAAATGAACTTTTTGTAGGTTTAAAAGGCCATTTTATGTATCCATAGTATATCCTTAAAATGAAATAAATAATATCTAAAAATATATATTGTTGGTAAATCATCTTTCACGTTAATACTTTTTTAGAAAAATATCAAAATATAATAAAATTCTTTAGATTAAAATGTTATTCAATTTCATATATGTGTTGAAAAATAACAATTACAGGTTTAAAATACATTAAATATTAATTAATTAGACTAATTTGACTCTCTAAACTAAACACCTACAATACACTAAATATTTATTATTTATTGTTTTCTTGAGGGTAAAAATACACTAAATACACTAAATTACAGGTTAAAAATACACTAAATATTTTCTTTAGTAACTAATTTGACTCTCTGAACTAATCACCTACAATACAAAACTTAGTTAAATTGTAGGTTGTAAAAACTGTGTTTGAAGGAAGACAGTGATACATTGATCAAGGCTTTTTAATATAAAACTAGCATATAATATTATTGATGATAATCAAAAGAAACTGAGACAATTATATGTATATGTATATATATATATATATAATAGTTAGTTGAATTCAAAATCTATAAAATATAAAATATAACTAAAAGAAGATATGGAATATTTCTTGTTACAAATTCAATAGTGTTCTTTCAAACAAAATATGTTTAAACTTTTATATTATATCTAGAAAGAATAGGAAGCTTTTCAAAATATACATATATACTTTTTTTAATAGAAATAAAAACATTTAGATTGATATTATGGTCGACTTTGGCATTGAAAGTTTTCACAACCTTAATATAAAATAACAACTTTAATAATGCTTGTGTTTTTCGTTGGACATAGTATTAGATAGAAATTTTGTCAAATTACTTCATTGTTGAAGCCAATTAGTTCTTATTATAAAAGCTTCAAAGTGAAGTATCTAGTTCTCTTCACAAAACTTTAAAAAAGATGTCATAATAAAACTTTGTAAAATTCTACAAAAAATCTTGTTATCTACTTGCACTTTTTATTTCTTATGAATTAATTAAAAGTAGGCCCAAGAAGTTCCAACTACTCTTTCAATAAATTTCAAGGAAAAGAGGAAATGCAAATATAAAACAGTGTAGTTAGCATTTCTAGCTTAGATGCAGTTCAAAAAGGAGACACTACCATGGAAAATTAGATTCGTGTCATAATATAACATTGGATATAAATGAAGGGTTCACACCTATCTGTAAAAAAAAAGCTACCAATTGATGGAAATATAAATATAACCTTTGACGCGCCTCGTCGTCCTCCTCCTCGCCCCGGCTATGGCCTGCGATGAGCCCTTCTCTCCGCCATAGCCAGCCACCATCCTGTTGTGCTTGGCTTCGGTCCGCTTCTATTCCGCCGCAGCGCGTGTTGGACCGGAGTCTTCCACTTCATCAGGTTGGGGTTTCGCGGTGTTGTTATCGCTCTTTTTTTTTTTTTTTCTTTTTTTTTTTTTGTTTTTTTGGTTCTTTCCCGAAGGTTGTTGCTGGTGTTGTCTTTGGAGAAGGGGGAGGATCAGAGGGGTAGGCTTATGGGGATTATGGCAGACGGGCAGGAGTATGGAAAACGAGCAGCGTTGCTGTTATTTCCCTGCATTTTTTCATGCACTCTCTGGGACTCCCTCTTTTTTGTATTTTGTCCTCAAATTTTTGCCATTCGTTTCGTTGTTGTTGTTGTTGTTGTTGTTGTTGTCGCTTTTCATTTATTTATTTTTATTTTGTATCTCTCTCTCTCTTCCGGGGTAGGGTGTGGTTCGCTGCGGTCGGAGCAAGTTTTCCCTAGTGGTTTTGTATGTTGTGAAGATAGCTTTTGTTGTGAAGATAAGTTTCTTGGTAGTGCATGTTATTAGGGTTACGAGGGGGTTGGCGAGCGTAGTGATTACTCCCATACTGCCGTTCAAGATTAAAGGAGAGGCGGTGGCTTGGTGGCAGGGAGCAGGACAGCCCAGGGATTTTTTGGTTTGGCAATGTTGAAGTTACAAGGCGCTGCCGCGCGAGGGAAGAGGAGCATGCAGAGAGACTATCTGCTTTCCGTGAACTGAAGGCGCTTCGTTGCACGCCTTTTTGGTTTCGTTCTAGAAGTGTTCTGAAGGATTTCGCGTTGCGGAAGCAGGGAGCTGAGGTAGCTTGCAATAGGTGCAGGGGGTTCTCAGCAGTGGTTGCTATATAGGTTAGTGCTCTCGCTCACTTTTCTCTGTTTTCTCCTCTCGCCGGTGGCAGACCCCGCCAACCTTTCATTTTTGTCTCTGTTTCCATTCAGTCCGAAGAGCCGCGCTGTCGATGACAACCTCTCAAAGTCTTTGGTTTGTCCTTGGAGGGTCGCTTTGGTACACTTTGGAATATTCCTAGAAAAAAGCTTCTCGCGTGCTCGAAGCGCATTAGGTGATTCATTGCAGATTCATTTAATTTTGGGTTTTAGTATCATACGTGGTAATCCCCGGAATGGCACTAGAAGTACCCAGAGGAACCAACAGAAAACTTGAACTCGAAAGTTCTCCATTTATCGCTTCAATACAATGTCCACGTCATACCTCTCGGATGTGGAATAACCAGCCTGGTTATGAGTGGGTATGAGTGGTTACTCGCAATCTACCCTGACTGGAATTATATCTTGGATTAAGAGACAACCTCCTTTTAATCAAATACTTTCAATACAATGTCCATAGTAATCATGAAGGTCTTACTGCAATGAATGTAACATGCCTCACTCTAAGTTCTTGCTCACCCCATTTTTTTCATTTGCATGTCAAGATATCGTGAGCGGACATTTGCTCAGTTACGAATAAATTACAAAAGGCATTCCTTTCGGTTTTGTTGCTAGGGGATAAAACGAGTGTGGTGGGAGGGCTTAGAATATGGTCTTACGCGGATTACCGGTCATGTTGCTGAGAGGAACTTGTGGAATCATAGCGCCTTCTTATCGAAGGCACGGCGTTGGTTTAATTTTGGACAGCCCTTTTGACCGCTGGGGAATCCCATCGGAGCCGCAAGCATTGACTGTCCCGAATAATTTTCTTAATTTCTATTCCTGTGTGTCTTAATTTCTTCCGTCTATAGAAGCTTAGAGTTTGAATGGTTGATCTGCTACTTATCATTGCTGAACATTATCATGCATCGCAGAAATAGCTCTTTGACGTTATGTTTCGTGCATTTAGTTCTAGTTTCTAGGTCGACAAGTCTCATATGCGTTTGCGCAGCCATATTATACTATGTGACCATTGAATAGTGTTCTCAACCTGAGAAAAATCGTTCTCTCCTTCGCGCTTGTTGAGGAAGATTGTCAGCAATCGCTGCGAACTCATCGATCGGTTGATTGGATACTTTCTTGGCACAAGACTTTCTGTGATTAGGTGGATGGTACATGCACCCCATTTACAAAAACCTGTATCTTTTTTGACATTTGTGTCGTTCTTGTGGCTTATGAAGGAGGTCAGGAGTAGATTTGTACTCGACATTATTCGCCACTGGCTCCGTAGCTTGAAAGATTGATTAGAAGAGGAATGACAGAAGTGGCCGATGGAAATCCAGTAACAATGTCAGCAACTAAAGATACCTTGTTACCTGGTAGACAGGAGGGCTTCGTGTCATCGGGGCTGTCTCCTTGCTCAAACGCTCCTGTGGATGCCTCGTCTAAGATTCGAGTAGAAAATGTGGTTCAGGCAGAGACCCCGAGTGGAGATGGTCCTTCCGGAAAGGTCATCTTGGATTCTGATAGTTTAATTCAAGAAACTGCAGCGGGCTGTGATGAGGTCGTTCTTTCGGCAGTGAAGCAAATAGTGTCGGATGGAGCAGATGACTTGAAAACATCTCTTGGCGATTTGCAGCAGGATTCGCAGGATATTACGGACAGCTCCATTGAAGAACCGGTCGTGGATGCTTCGAAAGTAGATGTTGCTGAAGAGTTACCTGCCGTGGAGGTACTTGCTGTGAAGACAACTATAGTAGAAAAATGTGTTATAGAAGTATCTACTGTGGAACCAACTTCTGTGGATAATGCTACTGTGGAAGCACCCGCCGAGGAAGCACCTGCTGAGGAGGTAGCAGTGAAGGCAGACCCGAAGGAGGAGACGCTTATCTTTTCTGAAAGTGCTTGTGTTCAGGATGCTGTTCCTGGTGCAACTGGAATGAGAATAGATGCTGAGGATCATACTGTGGAAGAAAAATCCGCAGATGAGGGTGTTGGAGGTGAGCAAAATTCACATCCTACTCCACTGAAGGATGAAAGGCAGAACGTTGCATCGGATTCTAGATCGGTTAAAGAATCCCCATTGACCGGGACCCAAGCCACTGGTCGACAACCCCTTGATGAGAGTAAGGCCCTTCTTAATGGGGAAACAAGGATGGGCGAAGTAGTATCTGCTGGTAGTCACGCTATCACTTCATCGACTGCCACTGGAGCTAAAGCGGCCAATGAAGTCACTAGAAGTAAAACGGGTGATACCACTGCTAAAACTGTCGATGAGACTGCCGAGAAGCTTCTGGACGAAATGCCGGATAGAGTGGTAAATCAGTTTGCCGATGGTGTGGCGGATAGTATGGCTGATGCCCTTGCCGACAAACTTGCTGATGAGATTGCTGACCGAATGGCGGATGAGATTGTTGACAAGATGGCTGATGAGATGGCTGGTGGTATAGCCGATGACACAATAGCGGATGAGATTGCGGATAGGATGGCAGATGAAATGGCCGATAGGATGGCAGACGAGATGGCTGATAGAATGGCAGATGAAATGGCTGATAGGGTGGCAGCTGAAATGGCTGATGAGTTGGCAGATGAAATGGCAGATGAAATGGCAGACGAAGTAATTGAAGGGGAATATGGTAGGGATGAAAGAGCTCAAGAGAATGAGGGAATGGTTGATAGAGAAACTCATGAAGTTGGTGACATGGAAGAAGAAGTGGAAATGGTCGAAGATGGGAACAAGGTGATGGACGACGATGATTATGAAGACGATGAAGGAACTCCAGAGGAGCAGATGACATTCGTAGAAGAGCTGGAGCGTTTCTTTAAGCGACGGAATCTGGAATACAAGCCCCCGAAGTTTTATGGACTGGAGTTGAACGTTCTGAAGTAAGTATTCTACGATATAACACCTCATTTGGAAACATTTAAATGCTCTGAAATAAATTTCAAGTCTATTTATAGGTTTCTGAGACCTGATGATTGGCTCTATGAAGTGCATGTCGTCAATGCTTTTGTGAAGTAGCTGTGGTTGGAATTGCAGAATTCAGTGGACATGTGCAGCCTTGTAACAACTGGATGTGTCAGTCCTGTAAATTTCTCTTTTGTGAAGTAAGGGAATTCACAGTTGCTATGTTGTTGATTGCAGGCTTTGGAGGGTAGTGTCCAGATATGGTGGCTATGATCATGTACTCACTTTCACAACGCCCATGCCGCTCAATGTTGACTGCCTCCCGGAATTTGACCTTTATAGTTGTTGAATAAGTGGGTTAGGTGAAATATATACATGATCATCTTATAGCCATGGACTGCATACAATGGTGGTGCCAATTGTGCTGGATAATAGGCAGATATTAAGAAGAGGTGTGGCCTGTCTTGTGTCTTGAATTTTGTCTTGGATCTCTAGCTTGAATCCGTCCGTGTAGGCAGTGAGCTCTGTTCTACACCTTGTTGATATGGCTGTTCATCTCTGTTTGTGTATTGCTGACAGGACCCATCGGTGCCCTGTGCTTGTGTAGGTTACAGTCAGCAAACTTTGGAGGACAGTTGGTGAAGAATTTAAACCTCCCAAGTAAGAAGGCTCGAATTTTCCAGTTTCTGCAATTAGATGTTGGATTCATGAGCTTAGTTGCTGTGAATGGTTGGGATCGTCTTAATGGTTGTTATCTGATGGTTGTAAATCTGAGTAATTGCAACATGCTTTGCATGTGGAGTTCTTGACCTTGGACTCCCTTACTACCAACAAATGTTTGTGCATTGCTTTTTTCGTTGTGTGTGTGCGCGCGCGCAATACTCTCTATTTGTAGGATACTGTGCTGATTGAAATATGAACTCTTCACAGGACATGTACGACTATTTCATGGTCATTTCGAGGTTTCTATGAGAAGGTATGTTATGCTGAGTTATGATTAATTTATGCTTTTTAAAATTCTATTTTATAGTCTAATTAGTAAAGAAGTGAATTGAACACCGCCTGTGTATTCTCTGTGCATTTGAAGTTTCGGCACTTGGGTTCTGTTCTCCAACTTGTATTTCGGTTATTGCAAGGAATTGAAGAACTTGAAGTTATGTAAATACTCGAAGACTATACGTTGTAATTTGTCTAACCTCTTTATTTAAACGATCATTCAGGCCCTACTGGATTACGAGAGGTTCAAGACTGGTGTAACTGCACCTGACAGTGGCCAAAGATCAATTCAAACACCTGGCTATTATCTGACAAATGATCAGCGAACATCATCCCCCGCTACCCCATCATTTGATGTATGTGACTTTTGGTCTTGCTTCTATACCTTTTTGTGTTACGCTAGTACACTTCATTCAGTATGTCGCACCTGAATTTCGATAGCATGGTCTAATCTATTTATTTGGACCCAAATAGCTGATAGAAAGGATGTGCTACAGATGGAAATTCTGGTAAAATCTATGTCCCCTTGTATGGAACGTTTAGTGTTCGTGTTTTACACTCCTGAATTTACTAAAGTTGACCTTTCTGTCGATACTCTTGTAGCCCAATGCGGGTGGAACACCGGGATCAGGATCTGGACGTGCACGAAGAGACGCAGCAGCACGGGCAATGCAGGGATGGCATTCGCAGCGTATGGGCAATGGAGATTCTAAAGAGCCAAATTCAAAGGTATGTTCAAGTTTTCTTCAGAATCCTTTTTATTCTTTCTTCGTCTTTTAATATAAATAAATAAATAAATAAATAAAAGATCGTGTTTATTGTTTTGATTTTGATTTTGATTTTGATTTTGATTGGTTTGGTTCTCTCTTGGGAGTTGTTTTTTTTTGGGGAGGGGAGGGTTCATCTGTCAGATCTAATGGATGACGCTTTAATCTTGTCTTGTACCGGCGAAAATATATATAATTTTTTTGGAAGGTCTGGATTGAACATGCGATAAGCATTATGTAACTACCATAATTTTTGGTTTTTTGGCTATGTTGACTTGCTCCTTGATACTTTGATATTGAGAATGTTACGAGGACCAGCCTATATTTGGATACTGGAACAGATTAGTAAAATTGGCTCTGTAACAGATTATGTTGACCATTGGAGTTGGCTCTGTAACAGATTAGTAAAATTGTCGCTCTGTAGGTCTGGTGGTTAACAATTTCGACTTTTTAGATCTATTTTAAGGCGAAATGTGATTGAATAAAATTTTAAGTGGTTGTTTGTGACACAAGAAATGTACTTTTTTTTTGTAGGAAAAAGGCTCTGGTGGGAAGCATGTGAAGAAAGAAAGAAAGCTAACGAATATAGGTATTGAGGATCCCCTGTTTTTATTTTAGATTTTGTAGCATGGAGTATCTTGGAGTTTCCAATTCGAGTCAGTGTATTGGCATGGACTTTTGATGAAGTTTTCAGGCTTCAGATTTAAACCCTATTTCAGTCATTGATTTACTTGAAGAGTTTCGGGATTAGTTCTTAAGTTGTATTTTTTTCCGCTTTTTCTGTTTCTCCTTAACTTTGGCTACTAGTGCTTTTAGATAATTACGGTTAGTAGTTCTATCGAATTTCTCACGCAAGTGAGTTTGTGTTGTGATACAGGAGGAAATGGGCTGAAGCGAAAAGGGTCAAATACGGTCCTTGAGAGGGCTGTGAAGGCTGTTCAAGCCAGAGGAAGACCAAGATTATTTGAAGACAGTCCGCCTAGTAATTCTGCAGTAACTGGCAAACGAAGTATGAAGCAACAGGACTCCGGAAGACGTCCCATGAAGGTTGCTAAAGTGGATGGACCAGCAGGTGGTTTTGATCCTCCGATTGTTGACGAGGGCCCTAAAGCTGATTGGGTCAAAATCAATGTACATAAACATGTGAGTTACCTATAGCACTTCACAGATGCATTATTACGGACATTGTACGTTTATGTTCTTGCTAACGTGGCGTGTATTTTTTGAACTTTTGTATAGCCTGTAAGAGTCCATAATTAACCCAACCCTTAATGCTTCTCTCTTTGATTCCCTTACTCTTTTCCGTTCTCTTTTCTGGGCTCGACTGAGATGAGTAAATTGTGCCTCTTCGTTTTTGCAGCTAGATTGTTTCGAAATTTATGCACTGGTTCCCGGGCTAGCTCGTGAGGAGGTGAGTGGCACTAAACTGCGTTTAACCCTCGAAGGGTTTAAGGACTTTGTTTGGCATGTCATCACCGTAGTGCCATCTCCTGTTTTCTAATTACTGTACATGATAAATGCCTTACTCTATGATAAGAACACGCTAATTGTGGAAGAGTCCTCAGCAGTTGGTTTGGGACGCGATGTCCATACTCAGTTGGAATTTTCGCATTTAGTACTTATTATATGATTATGAACACTAAGCATGCCTAATGTAATGAACAAAGTTCACCTTGTCAATTATCCTAGAGACCTAGGGTGGGACGAATTCACATCATATTCTTCTGCATACTTTACTTCAGAAGCATGCTCGACAGAATTTTCTCAATTATTTAATTATTTAATTATTTAATTATTTTGTATTTTATCATCACCAGTTCTTAAAGATGGCATCTTCTGACTTGCTAGAGTTCCATCTGAACAGGTCCGGATCCAATGTGAGCCTGGAGGCAGGCTAGTGATTGCTGGAATGCCTGAGGATCCAGAGAATCCCTGGGGCGTGACACCTTTCAGAAAAGTAAGTTTCCAAAGCACTGTTTAATGTAATATTTCTCGTGTACGTCCTCCTGTGACAAGGCTGGTTACTGTTTTTGTCGAAATAATACGATCATGCCCCTATTCTGGATGGTGCCTACCTATTGTAGAAAGCAGAACAGCTTATAACAGTTTTCCTGAATGGCGTGAAATAGAAGCAATTGACTCCTAGAGTTTGCTCCTAGGCAGTATGTCCGACGGACTGGTCATGCCTTAAGTGATTTTGTTTTATGAGTGAGCTTGTTCTAATATATATATATATATATATATATATATATATATATATTTTCTCAGGTCATAAGTTTACCCTCTCGAATCGATGCACATCAAACATCAGCAGTGGTCACTCTCTATGGCCAGCTTTATGTGCGCGTCCCCATCGCAGAAGACAAGTCATCTTAGTGCAAAGATTTGCACTGGCAGACTTTCATCTCAGCCGCTCTCGAGAACAGAAATGCTGCCAAGAATACGAAACATAAAGATGGCATTTGTCAATTGCACCATGTTCTCCGTCAATTAAGTGAAGAAGTGCTTATTAATTGTTTTATCTACTGAAACTTGGGTTTGAGTGCACTGTATTAGATGGAGAATGCTTGCTTGGATAAGAAGCGAGGGAGCAGGTTCAATGTGTAGGAGAACATGTTTCTCAAGTTAGGTCAAAGGCAATTATCTTGCGCAGGAAGATGTCTTAACAGGGTAGGAGCTTGTAAAGGCAATGCCACATGCTGGTGTATGCACTCAAATCTGTTTGAGGTAATAACTCGTCCTTTCATTTGCCTCCAATGTTTTCGTTTGGTTAGAATGATGTGGATGCGATGTCAGCTGTGCTTGGTCTCGCTGTTGGGTTCGCCTAGAAACGTGGAAGATTCTCCAGCCGGGAGCTGTATCGGGTCAAGTGCGTATTCATGCACGCTGCAAGTTTTAATACGTAATATGAAGCGAGAAAAATCGTATTAAGTCGGTTCAAAATATTCTGGCATCATGTATCCAAATTTGTGCGAAGCTTTGAATGCTGAAAATTGCGGAGACGTCACAGGCACCCGTGATGTGGTGAATCAAGTGCAACTCTTTGGGTACCTTTTTGCAATTTTCATTGTCACCACTCTAGCTGTTACGGGTCAAGTCGTCTATCAACATGAGGCTCCTTCTCACAGTGATCACGTGTTGCATTACAGCTGAAGAAGTATGTCATGAACAGAACTGCATACCTTTACGGGCATTCTGCAGCGAAGTCATCTAGGTCCATGTACATTATAATTCTCTCCCGAAGGAAGGAGTTATGTTGCCCTACAACTGCAGAGGATGACTTGTTCATTTTCATGAGTGTAGGACCCACACCACTGCATTTTGATTATGGCAGTCGCGCTCTTTTTAAACCTCCTGCATTCCCTTCTCGCATTCTTCACTTCTAAACCTGCGCCACATTTCAACGCATCTAAAGGCGGGAAGACAATTCTATAGAATCCTTCAAGATATCCATGGATCGACTAGAATTTTATCAAATTTTTTTGCTGCGTATTTATATATATTCACACATACGCGCACACACATACACATATATGCCAAACGTTGATACAGAAGATGAGCATGTAAAGGTTGTTGTTAATGCCGATATTCTAAATTCAATTTTGAATGCGCATAGAATGTGGTTGGCACTCCAGACAAAACGCATAACATGGTTCTACCCTCTAAAATCAGAAAGAGTATTGAGAATGCTTCAAACTATTGATGCAAGTGACTAAATATTCTTAGGAAATGCATTGTTGATTTTTCTTTGAAAGAAACTCACAATGCAATTCAATATGAATTTAATTTGTGGTTATGTAAATATATATATATATATATATATATATATATATTGTAAATAGAACTCAATAACACTGAATCATATAAATGGTGAAAAAAGTTGAAACAACATAATAGGAGCAGGCCTGTTCACCACCAGAATCACCAGAAATTTTGCAATTTGTGGCCTTTTCATAGCAATTCTTCTAAACTGTACATTTATTTGCTCAATATCAACTTTTTACTAGCAATATCAATGGATGGATGGATGGATAGTGTTAAGCTTCATTATACGCATTCATTCATCCATCCTGTCGGGTCAGTGTTGGTATCTATTGGGTGGGCCTAGAGAGCCTCCCCCCTCTTTTTGGCCTTTGGGTTTGCTCCACAAGATAGTTCTCTATTGGAATATATGTTGATGGAGAGAATAACCAAGGAATATTATTTGATGAATTCATTACCAATATGATAAGAAACGATACAGCAACAACAAGATAAGTAACAACAAGAGCCTTTGTCGTTCTGTCATGGAGGTGTGCCATTTGTGGGCTCCAAAAGCCAAACAAATATCAACATCCAATCATAGAGAGAGAGTCAGTCCAAAGGTAAAGTGAAATGGAAACAACACAGCGAGAGCCTGGAACAGAAACGATATTCTATTCATCCATCGCACAGAAAACTCAGAGCCAGAGTGGGCCACAATTTTCTTATCTGGGTGGATGAAAGCGCGAGGGATGAACAGAAACCATGGGCTTGCTTTCCCTCTAGCTTCTTCTTCTTCTCCTGGTGTAGTAGCAGCTGTAGTGTTGTCGAAAGGGGGAAAAGGAGGAGGAGGATATGGATACTGATAGATAGATAGATAGATAGATAGATAGATAGATAGATAAATAAAGGGAGAGGGATAGTAATGAGTAGCAAAAGGCTTGGCTGCGGAGGAGTTAGCTTGTGCCACTGCTCCTCCTCCTCCAAACCCTATTCCACTTTATATCTCCAGGCACCACCACCCTGGCCTTTATTCTCTTCATATTCCCTTCTTATTATTCCCCACATGCTGTCTCTCTCCCTCTCGGCGCTTGGTGGGGAGCAGGGGGGGGGGGGATCAATTGATCCATGGAAGTGCTCCTTTCAGTTGGATGGGAACTCTTCCCCTCCCCCTCCCCCCTCGTGTGGGTTCCACGCTCCATCACAATCTGACCTTGAGGGAGTAAACGAATGGATGAATAAATGGATGGATGAGTAATGGGAGGTCTACAGCGTCTCAGACCAGGCTGCATGCATCACTGTGGTTGTGGAGTGCCCTCCAGATTTTGATTTTTTTCAGCTGCTTCTCGGTCTCCTTTTCTTTCTTACTTTCAGAGTGCTTGCGCAATCGGTCTTTTTCCTTCCCTTCTTGTTGCGTGACCATTTCTTTTTGCTGAGACTTTGAAGGTGACAGAAGGGACAGGTCCTCCTCGTGAGCGCGCCTGGGAACTTATGGGAACACCCACTCGCATACGTAGAAGCCGGCAAAGAACCACTGCGCCATGTTCCTGGGGCACGCGGATCTCTCGCTCCCTGTAGCGCGAACTTCGCGAACGTGAGGGAACACCGAGACCGGGAAGGTGTCGGGTGTTGCGCTGCTGCCACATGGGACGCCCCCACACCTGCCACATGGGTGATAGGTCAACTGCCAAATGGCTGGCCACTAGTAACTGAGAACTCACATAACCCTTGTCTGGGTTCTACATTTGAAAACCACCTCTGGAAAGCTCCTCCTTACTTTTGCCTTTTCACCGTCTTTTACTCTTACCTTTACTTTCTTCTTCTTCTTCGTCTCGTTAGCTTTTACTTTTCACTTTTACTTATACTTTTTAAAAATGTTTATTTGACTATTTAAAAAAATTGTTTTGGGCAGAGGACCTTGACAGCCACGGTTGTTGTTGTTGTTGTTACTTCCTTTCTGCTCATTCGAACCCATAAGAAGAATATGCCCAAAGTATCTTGGGATAGCCCAAGCTGCAATCCATTGTGCTTTTGCTTTGAATTTTATTTTATTATTTTTATTATTTTTACGGATATTTTTAAAATTTCTGGAAGGAGTGGAGATGCAATGGGTTCATTCAAATGACATCCAAAGAAAATAGTAAAGCAGTCAGAACAAAAAAAAGTAAAAGAAGAATTGCTGTAATTGTTGAACAATTTTGTCTATGTAAGGAAAATTCATACATTTAAAGCCATTGGTATTGCCTAATGCCAACACACAACCACTGTTGCAACTAATCATCATGTTTCACTAAAATTGTAAAATACACTATCTTTCTCTCTCTCTTTCTATGCAAGCAACAGTAATGAATGAAGTTCATTTACTACATGTAGTCCACCTCATAATCTCTATGTATATGTATATATATATATATATATATATACCTACATGGTTAGAATAAAAATATTTATGCATATCATTGACGTTGTTGTTTTTAAAACAACACGATGTATTTTATTTTTAGAAAAATGCAACACTCAATCCCACTGGCTTTCTTTCACCATCACCAATGTGGGTTATTATTTGTTCTACATAGTTTTTGCAAAGGAGATGGTGGAGAAAGGATTGGGGCTGAGGCGAGAGGCGCCCGAAGCAAACCAGTATAAATAAATACAATAAATAAAATAAACTAAACACAAAAAAAGGCGAAAGTCGAGCAGGGGGAGTAAAGTATAAATTAAAGTAAAAGGTAAAGTAAAAGGGGGAGGGGGGTGGGGGTGGGGCGACGGATGAGCGGTGAGGAGCGCGAGAGGGGAAGGCAGCGAAAGCGAGCAAGGCCGCGATGGGGGGAGTGAGTGAGAAAGTGAGTATATGGAGACCAGGCTGCGCGATCCTCACCGAAATCAGGCTCACCCTCAGCCACAGCCCAGCCAGACACGCCAATCTGGCCCCGCGGCTGGCCCCGCGGACAAACGGAGGGACGGCCCGTGACAACAACAAGAAGAAGAATCAGAAGCAGAAGCAGAAGAAGAAATAGCGAAGAAGAAGAAGCAGCAGCAGAAGCAGCGAGTGAGATACACGGACGCGCAGCCATTCCGGCGTGGGAGAGGCGAGGCGCAGGCACTCTTCGCAAGGATTCCAATCCATCGTGCTCCACCGTTGCGGTTGGGTCCGCATACAATTCGCCCGCCCTCCTCGTCACTTTCCGTTGAGTCAGGTGAGGGAGCCGTCCGTGGTTGATGCAGGGAATCGATGATTGTCGTAGATTGGAATCCGAATTTCGCTTTGCAAGCCCGCATTCTTCTTCCGCCAGTCTGTGTCGTGGGTGTTTTGGAGTTTCTGAATTGGGTTGGGATCTTTTCTCCGAATTCAACCTATCAATTAATCAAGTAGTCAATCAACTAATAACTGTATATTCATATGATTGTTTTTTTTTCGAAATTTGAGGATTTTGTCTTTTTCATTCTTCATTTTTGGGTGGCGTCCTTGCAGCAGGTGGGTATCGGTACGCAAGGACGGAAGTTAGAGCGTTTAGATTCATGTGCTTGTGTGCGGGTGCATGGATGGACAGGCGTGAATAATTCTCTGTACTTTTGTGTTTGGGACGGTAGTTGGGGCACCGCGGATCCCGATAACGAGTATAGTTCGCTTCCGGTGAAGGGTGCGTGTGTTTTCGGGGTTTCGTTTTGACGATTGTTGCGTGTGAGAGCAGGTGCCAAGGATTGGGGAGGTTGGGTCGGCCATGGTGCTCTGAAGTTTGTTGCGGGTGAAGAGTGCGGCGTATGCGCCACAAGGATTTGTGAGCGATGGCGGTAGGAAATGAGTGGATCAATGGGTACTTGGAAGCGATTCTGGACACGGGAGAGAAGATTACCGATCACAAGCATATTGGAGAGGGGGTGAATGATTTCAAAGCGGCCAAATACTTCGTGGAAACTGTCACCGGGTTCGATGAGTCTTCTCTGTATCGCACCTGGATCAAGGTGGCTGTCAAATCTCTCTCTCTCTCTTTCCCCCTCTTCCTGTTTGGTTTGTTTACGACCTGAGTAGGGCATCCAGTTTCGTGTCGAACTGAGCTTGTTCAATCCCTCCCTGAAACATTTTTCCAATTTTGCTTGTTCTCTTTTACTTTTTTTCCCTCATTACGCCGCGACATTGCATGTCTGGGTGTGTTCTCGCACTGCATGTTTTGAAATTTACCCCTTTTTTTTTTTTTTGGGCTCGCACACGGTCGCATGACCCAATGTGGGCTTCCAAAAGTCTTGAGTGCAAAGCAAGAGCGCGAGAGAGAGCGAGAGTGAGAGAGAGAAAGAGATGGAGTGTTGGAACACTTGCGCATTGCAAGGGGGATATTGATCTATCGGTAGCATGGTAATGTTTGGATGGTTTGCAGTCTCAAGCGTCGGCGACGAGGAGCTCTCAGGAGCGGACGCTGCGAATGGAACATCTTTGTTGGAGGATTTGGCACATTGCGAGGAAAAAACGATTGGTAGGTTCAGAAATTTTGGTGTCATGCTTCAATTGAGTGACAATGCGGTGCAGGAAAAGGGGTGCCATGGGAATGAAGCTGGCTAACCTCGCCCAACTTGTCTGGACAGATCGAATGGGAGGATGCCCACCGACTGGCCCGGCGGCATATGGAACGTGAGCAAGGGAGGAAAGATGCCACTGCAGACATGTCCTCGGATCTCTCGGAGGGTGAAAAAGAAACTACCCCAGCAGATACCATGCCTCGTGTGGAGAGCAGTCTCGCCCTCGCCAGCTCCAACGTCGGAGAAATCACTACTCCCGAGAAAGAGAAACCTGACAAGCGTCTGTACATTGTTCTCGTCAGGTATGGAAGACAACTCCAACCAGTCCTTTTGCGTTATTGACTTCATTCTGACTCCCCATTACCCTTCCGTTCATTGTGATCGCAGGACGTTTTCAACAGAGCAACTGAATTTTGTAAAGTTACAGTGGAAATTCTATGGAAACATTCCTAACTTTGTAAAGCCCTGCAGTTTGCATGGTCTTGTGCGCGGGGACAACATGGAGCTTGGCCGAGATTCAGACACTGGTGGGCAGGTTTATTTTTCATGACACTTTAATCCTGCCTTCACGTCCACAATACAAAATGCAAGTAGATTGTGCATCTCCAGCAAGCTTTTGGTTTTTGTGTCTTTGCTGCTTTCCATGACCGCAGCCTGGTAGGGAAGTTAAAATATCCGAAGGAATAGCTGTTGTTGCGATGATTTGTTTCGAAGGCGTGTGAGCTGACATTGACGAACTTTTGCAACAGATCAAATATGTGGTTGAGTTGGCAAGAGCGCTGGCCTTGATGCCCGAAGTCTACCGAGTGGACCTTCTCACTCGTCAAATCTGCTCACCCGACGTGGATTGGAGTTATGGAGAGCCCACGGAGATGTTGAGTATGGGATCCTACGACGACGTCGAAGATGTTGGTGAGAGTAGCGGTGCGTACATTGTGCGAATTCCTTGCGGGCCAAGGTACTTCGATTCTCGTACTCTGGCCATTTTCTGCTTGCAAATCTCTTCTAACTTGATCCCACACTACAGATTTACAGCATCATCTGGTATTTACAGCATTATCTGATATTTGTGAGTTCCCAATTCCCTGATTTGGGAATCCCAAGTGCCTACCGCCTGAGTGCTTGTGCTTCTTCTGTGTTAGCTCACACCAGTGCAGCAGCTTAAGCTTCCGCAGTGCATTCTCGCTCTCTCGCTTCTGCACTTTATATATCTTTTTTTCAAAAGTGGGAATTGGTGGTGGTGAAAGGTCAAGTTACTCATGGAAGCGACTTAAGCACGTGCGCATGAAATAACTGTTTGTATTCTGCAATGTAGGGATCAATATTTGAGGAAAGAACTTCTGTGGCCATACGTCCAGGAGTTTGTGGACGGTGCTTTGGCTCACATTCTGAACCTGTCGAAGGTCCTGGGCGAGCAAATTGGAAGCGGGGGGCTTATCTGGCCGCATGTGATTCACGGCCACTACGCTGACGCCGGCGATATTGCATCACTCTTATCGGGGGCCTTGAACGTTCCCATGGTGTTAACAGGTCATTCTCTCGGTCGAAACAAGCTTGAGCAGCTCCTGAAGCAAGGAAGGCAGACAAAGCATGACATCAATGCCACGTACAAGATCATGCGGAGGATTGAGGCGGAGGAGCTTTCGTTGGATGCAGCTGAACTGGTCATCACGAGTACCAAACAGGAAATTGAAGAGCAATGGGGCCTGTACGATGGTTTTGATGTCAAGTTGGAGCGTGTCCTGCGCGCCAGGGCTCGCCGAGGCGTTAACTGCCATGGCCGGTATATGCCTCGGATGGTGGTCATTCCACCCGGAATGGACTTCAGCAACGTAATTGTGCAAGACACAGGAGATGTCGTTGAAGACGGTGACGCTGTTCAGATCACCAACAGTGACGCCTCCAATGCAGTCCCCGTGTCTCCCCGAGCCAAACCACCTATTTGGGATGAAGTGAGGCCTATATCATTCGCCTAAATTTTTTGGTTGCCGACATTTGTAGTTTCACTGCGGATCCTTGTAATTTCAGATGCAGAACTCCGATTCCGGTTTCTTGCGTTGAAGATTTATCATGTCGAGGAATTTTGCTAGTTTATTGCGGGCAGGTAGAATTGATACATGCACACTCAGTTGATTTACTTTGTGAAATTCTTGTTTGTCCGTGGCGCCGCAAATTTAGATCATGCGTTTCTTTACGAACCCGCACAAGCCCATGATTTTGGCACTAGCGCGTCCCGATCCGAAGAAAAATCTCACCACCCTGTTGAGGGCTTTCGGGGAACGTCGGACTCTGAGAGAGTTGGCTAATCTGGTATGGGATACCCCTACCCTTTCACATTACACATTTGCCTAAGTTTTACTGGAAGCCGCGCAAATTATAGTCAGGTAAAGAACTTCCTCTGAAGCTACGATTTGATGTTTGCCAACAACGACTGTCTGTGCAGACGCTTATTATGGGAAATCGTGATGATATTGACGAAATGTCTGGAGGTAACGCTGCAGTGATGACCACTGTGCTCAAGCTGATTGACAAGTACAACTTATATGGTCAAGTTGCTTATCCCAAGCACCACAAGCAGGCAGATGTACCTGAAATTTACCGCCTTGCTGCGAAGACCAAGGTTTGTGAACCTTTTTCCTCCGCAGTGATTATCGTAATGCAGTTTTTTATTTTTTCATGGCTAGTATGCGGATAGGGCAGTCGAGGCAGAAAATGGTTGTCACTCCTGGTCGTATGGTTTTGGTTTCTGCTATTCAACTAAGAGATGATCAATGGTTTCTAATTTTATCTCACTACCATTCGCAGGGTGTATTCATTAATCCTGCACTCGTAGAACCCTTTGGGCTTACTTTGATCGAGGCAGCTGCACACGGCTTGCCCATGGTTGCTACAAAGAACGGAGGACCTGTTGACATTCACAAAGTATGCACATTGCCCCGTTTGAGTTTTTGATTGTTTGTAGTCCTCTGCTTGTCAAACTTTAATGATATGAACAGAAAGCCGTTTTTCACCTTGAGCTTGTATTGAGATAAGCGGCACGGTTCGTTGGTACAGGCTCTCTCGAATGGTCTGCTTGTGGATCCCCACAATGAAAAGGAAATTGCAGATGCGCTGCTGAAGCTGGTTGCGGACCGCTCTCTGTGGAACCTATGTCGCAAGAACGGATTGAGGAACATACACTTGTTCTCATGGCCAGAACATTGCCGAACCTACTTGTCTCGGATCGCGTTGTGTCGCATGCGACACCCACAGTGGAAGGCTGAGACCAGCACCGAGGACGAAGACCTTGATTCTCAGGGCGACTCCTTGCGCGACGTCCAGGACTTTTCGCTGCGCCTCAGTGTCGATGGCAACATGTCCATTTCAAATCCTGCGGATCTAGAGCGGCTTCTCAAGGGCCAAAGTAGTTTAGGGAAGAAGAATGGGCTGGAGGACTTCAAGCCCCTGGCAGGAAAGCAGCGCACCGTGAGCGGACGCATGGAATCTATGCAAGAGGAAGGGCCGGAGACAAGTAGGTTCAACTCAACAGGCACTCACAAGGCTCAACCTTTGAAGAAGCGGAGACGCCTCGTGGTCATAGCTGTGGATGGATATGATCCCACCACCAACAAGCCCAGCAGCAGATTGGAGAATCTGATTCAAGGCATTGTGAAGTCGATTCGGTCAGACTCGAACATTCGAGTTCAACCTGGGTTGATCATCTCCTCTGCTCTGACGAAGTCGGAGACTGTTGCCATGCTGAACTCTGCGGGGCTGTCTCACATGGAGTTCGACGCTCTTATTTGCAGCAGTGGAAGTGAGGTGTACTATCCTGCCTCAATTCAAGACGATAGCGTCACAACGGACAACAGCGACTTGCATGCAGACGAGGACTACAAAAGCCACATTGACTATCGATGGGGCTACGAAGGCCTCCGCAAGACCATGGCGCGCTTGAACACACCTGACACTGAGAGCGGTAGCAACGACAAGATCTGGACCGAGGATACAGCGAACTGCAACTCTCACTGCCTGGCCTACACGGTGACCAACTCGGACATCGTAAGTTCCAGCGCCCCGTTGGATTATTTTCCTTAGAGTCTTTCTGTCTATATTAGAGATATAGAACGTCGGTGTTTCATTTCTGTGAGGGTTCTGTCGCCAGAAATCTTCTTTCCAGAGATTTCCTGCGCTTCCTGAAAAGTTGACAAACTGTGGAATAGTTGTACACCAACCAATCAACAGTTTTCTCAATCAGTCTGTTTGTTTGTCGGTGGCAAAATTACCCCGCGGATTTCCATTTTGACACTTCTGAGGTGCTTTTGGATACTGCAGGCCCCTACTGTGGATCAGCTGCGACAGCGTCTGCGGATGCGGGGACTACGATGCCACGTGATGTTTTGCAGGAATGCTTCACGGTTGCACGTGTTGCCTCTTTTGGCATCTCGTTCACAAGCTCTGAGGTTCAATATCATACCTACCACTTACGAGAAGTACCTGTCATCAAAGATTTCAGATGCCATCTGGTTACACATGCATCAGTTGAAGGTTTGTTTTTGTTTTTGTTTTTTTCCTCTTTGTTTTACAGATTTCTGATGACCAAGTTCCAACCTGCACAGGTACTTCTTTGCTCGCTGGAATGTGGATGTCGCCAACATGTTCGTGGTCGTGGGCGAAACCGGTGACACCGATTATGAAGGACTGTTGTCAGGGACCCACAAGACCATTATCATAAAAGATGTTGTAGCGGAAAGCTCCGAGAGGAAGCTCCGTGCAACTGGCAACTACGGCCGAGAAGATGTTGCTCCAATTGAGAGCTCCAATATGGTCGTCACCGAACCCAACTCCGTTTGTGATGTACTTTTAGACGCACTCAAATATTGACAGTAAAAGTTCCTCTGGGTCTTAATTCCTGTGAGTCCCCATTCTGATCCTTTTCCTCCCTCTCCCTCTCTCTCTATCTCTCTCCTTTTCCTCTCCTTTTCCTCATGAAATTAGAGACTGGTCTCAGGTTGAGTGCCATGGTCTGCCAACCTTGAAGGTCAAAATATCTCTATACTCCTATTGAGAGTTGCCCATAGTTCTCTGCTGTCCGAGGGAGGCTTGTGAGTGGTAGCAGCGCAATGTGAAGAAAACTGTATGCAAAATGAGAGCTTGTAGAAATGGTATGGCTGGTGACAAAATCACAATGGCACTGAAAATGCAATTCTGTATTTCATTATTTTTCTTTTTCTTTTTCTTTTTTAATATGAGGTCTCTACTCTATTCTTTATCCGTGCTTCTCGTAGGCTCGGGATCCTATCTTGCTGGTGGTAAATATGTCTAAAGGACTCTTTGTAAACTAACAACGTTTCTGAAATGTTGAATTTTTAGTTTTCCATGCCGTGTTGTTGAATATGAGTGCACTTACTTTTGATGTAGATGTAGATGTGTGGATGTATGAATCTAACAACGTTTAGATAGATGTATTCTTCCATTTTAAACTGAATTCAGTATATCTATGCTAGGAAAATGATAAAAACATACACATTCTCAACACCAAAATGTAATTTGTAGATAACTACACCCAACACTCAAAGGAATAAGATTACACTATTGCATAACATGCACATAAATATGTACACATACGAAAACTGGGAAAGTATCAAACCTATACAGGAACTTAGCTGAGAGATGGTTGTAACTGCTCAGTATCTCAATCTATTTTTAAAAAATCATTAGTTAAGACAGAAACTATTGACATTTGATTGATTTAGAGATACAAAAAAGAAAAAAAGACAAGGAAAAGAAATGCCATAATATATTTGCCCAATACTTCTTCATTAACAAGTAAAAAAAGATTAACATAAAAAGTTTAAAGTATGATAAGTTAACATTATTGGTGTAGAAAATTATTCTTAACAGATTTCATTTTATAATTTTTTGTATATAAAACTATATTTTATATAACATTCAAAATATGATGTGCTCATCTTAGAAAATTGATAAGTTTAAGTTTTAATTTTTATATTTATCTATGACATCAGATCACTCCTATTTGCTTTTAATGTCTGATAATTAGAAGATGACAATACTAACCACAACAAGTAAATATAAATGGTTAACTTTGTAATTAGAATTCAAAATTTTGTAATGTTCATTTATTTAGGAAGTCACTTTTGTGTTGTGAATGTAAATAATCTTGTTACAAAGAAAGATAGTATGATTTATGTCTTAAAAATTAGTTTTACATACCTATTTTCATTTAGCTCAAAACAAATTAGGTGAACTTGCAAAATAATTTATATTATATTAGAGAATGTTATTTGTTACACATGCTGTTAAAATTGCATGATTAATTCATGATCAACTTGGAAACTTCTCAACTTTTGTATCAATATGTATAGAACATAAGTTTTTTTTTTTTTTTTTTTTTTTTTTTTATAATTTTATTCTCTAACTTCAACTAAGTCAAAGAAAGATGATTTGGTTCTTGCCTACTTGTTTGAATTTGTGATTGGTTTGTAAATGAAAATTTCTAAGTCATTACAAATTCTATGTCTTATCATTACTTTATTGAAGATAATTATTTTAACTTAGTAGTATGTTTCTATTTTGTCACCAATTTTATACAATCAAAAATCTACATAAATTATTTTTATTTAAAATTCTAATTACTACAATAATCAAATAATAAATTTTCTTAATTGATAAGATGTTACTATATTATAGTTTGTAGGTGCATAAGTGAATATATGTGTACATCCCATATGATTTGGTATAAAAATGGGTAGCATAGGTGTACTAAGGCATGAATATGTTGTACAATATTATAAGCTTGTTACAAGTCTTTGTTTCTAGATCTACTAGAAGTTGCTTTGCCTTATGAAAGTAAATGTATTGAGGTGTTATTATATTAGAATATATAGATATAAAAGTGAAGCCATGTATAGATTTTATTCAATTCAATGTGAAAATGGATAGTACAAGCATATAAGGGTGTAGAACAATCCAAATAGAATAAAACACATCTTCTTGAGATCAAAATCCATTGTCTATCTTCTATAATAATATTAGATATGTATTTTAATTAGATGATTATAATAAAATTACTTTGTTCCATTGAAAAACAAATAGGTGGAGTATCTTATTCCTATCTATCATAAAGCATCTTTAGACACTATCTTAAACCAACTTCTATACGTCAAAACATTATCAACCTTGTACATATTAGAGGTGATATTCTATATTCTTCTAACTCTATTTAATTGATTATCAAAAAAAAATTTAAAAGTTGTTTGAAGACAAATTAAAGATACAATAGCATTATAAATGCTATAACCTTCTTGTTTTGCATGACTATATTAATATATTTCTTATATGATAGATTCTACAAAAATCTAATTGAAAAAATTCAACTACTCTTGAAAGCTCTTACAATCCAAAATTCTAAATTTATATCTTAAACTACAAATCCGAACCATGAATTATAAATCTTAAATTCTAAAGTATAAATCCTTTATCTTGAAATTTTAATTTTCAACTTCAAATCCTAAAGTCTAAAATATTTAACATAGAATTTCAGTTTTTACAACCTATTGAAGTAAGGTTTTTACATAAAAGTTTAATAACACAATAATAAAATAATATTTGGTATAAATTACAAAAATAAAAAAATCAATAAAATTTCTAAAAATATTAAATAAATGATCAACAAATAATATATATATATATATTTTTATATTTTTAAAGATATTATTATTATAAATTTAAAAATTTAAAAATTTATAAAATATAATATAATATTTCTTTTAATCATTATTTTAGATTATTTTTTTCTTGTTAATAACTTATTTTAAGCTATAATGACTTTGTAGGACACATTCTATAAGAGCCTTCTTGGTATAACTAATATGTTTTTTGTACCCACATGAAAATTCTATTATACTAAATAATAACTTAGAATTATATAATCTACTAAACAATAACTTAGAAATATATTTTAATATGTTATATAAGAATTATGTAATCTATTAAACAATAACTTAGAATTATGATATCTAATTGGATAATCATAAAAATATTTCATAAAATACATCTTTGAGCCATTTAATCTTTTATATCATTGTTTACATATGTTAATACATTCTACACAAATCACAAGAAATATTGATACCAACAATATTGATACAAACTATGACAAGCTCATGACTATTCATGACTATTTACTAAAAAAAAAGTTTAAAGAAGAAAAGAAAAAGGCCCATGTTCATTCCACTTTAAAGTATTCACACAAACCAATCATCAAAAATTTCAAAAATTTCAACAAAACATTGTTAGGTCCACCATTTTTATCAGATGTTTCCAAAACACACAATTAGCCAGTAATTAAAAGCTCTACATATTGTCTTATATATATATATATATATATAGTCATGGGCATGATGCAAGTAAATTGTGAATAAAAACCATGAAATATATATATATATATATATATATATATATATATTATAAAATTTGAAAACTGGGCATGGTAGCCTCCATATGACGAGATTAGAGAGCCGTGCCGACTTTTGTGTGAAATGCAAGGTGAGCAAAACTAGCATCCCATGCATTCAGATTGCACAGTGGGGTATCAAGAATGATCCCTACTGCGGCGTTGTTGATGATGTTGCGATCGACTACTGTTGTCGTGGCTGCATCGGAATCTGCCGATCAAAATCGCATGATCGGGAATGGTCAGATGATCGATATGCGGAACTGGAGAATACTGATAAATCGTCACTGTCACTGAGCTGATCGATGTCTTCACTCCAGCGCTCGAGGTGGGTCACGTCGCCCCATGCAGCGTCGTCGAAGCTTGAAGGTCCATGTCTTTTGGTGCGCATCCAAAAGTATGTAGGAAGCACGATTGGATGGTGTCGGATTGGATCAGTCGATGCAGATGCCGCTCATCAAGGTCTCGAATTCAGCGAAGCTCACTAGTCGGTCACCGTCTCGATCCACACTTTGAATCATGCGCTGACACTCTTCCATCGACGCGGTGGCGTCGCCGAACCGGACCATCGCGCGTTGGAGGTCCTGCGCGGAGATGAAGCCACTGTTGTCAGCATCGAACACAGTGAATGCTGCCGACAATAGCGCGGTATTCGACGCACCACAGTCCTCTTTTCCGAGTCGGTCCGAGGTCGACGTCTTCGTGGGCTGAGAGATTTCGATCGGCCTCGTGTTTAAGTCGATGAACTCGTACAGGTCGATGTGGCCGTCACCGCTGGCGTCCACCTCCTTGATCAGCAATTCCAAGTCCGTATCGCTTACATCCTGCCCTAGCGACCGCATCACCACACCAAGCTCTTCCCTGGAGATTTTCCCGTCGCCGTTGCGATCATAGACTTTGAATGAGTCTGAGAACTCCCCCACCAGCTGGGGCGGTAGGTCGAAAACCGTGCTTACAAGTGAAGGATTCGTGGTCCCGAAGTTGGCAGCGCCAGTCCAGCACGACTCCATGAGCAGATCCATATCGGTTAGCACTCCCTTGAGCGAAATCTGCAGTCCGAGTGGACAGACTCAGCTGCGTGGCAACCCAATTACAACCAGGAAAAAGCTCCAAATTCTAACTCGACCCCCCTCCGATCACTGCATACCACTCAAACTCATCAAAATCACGGTCCAAACAAAGGCAGAATCGTTTCTCCAGTGATGACCTCAAGCACATCAACGATTGGCACTGCAGATGCTGAACTTGCTTTGCTATGGCAGCTATCAATTCAGCTTCATATGCACAAGCAGCGAGACAAGGATCTGGGGTCAATTCACGCGGAACTGGCAGAGCTGGGTAGTCTCCAAATGCTGGAGGTCTTGATGCAGTCACGACGCGGGGGCGGCAATGATCATGGATTTACTGCAGACAGAGAACGTTCGAAAGCCCAAGCGCCGAGTCAAATAGTCCGAATACACCTGCACGAGGACCCCATCAGGTTCAAGCGTCACCAAGCCTCAGCACGCGCGCATCCCAAGAGGAAAGAGTGTACGTACCCTTCAGTCAACAGACAATGTCGATTCGTCAACGTTTCCGATGTGCAAATAACACTTTATTTTTAGAGGATACCTAGAAAAGGTACATCGAACTACATAGTCATTTTTTATTTAATGGTAATGGTAACCCCTCTGTAATTTAGTCTAACGGTTGCTTTGTAAAAGTTGCATTTCTCTGCAAGTCGGCGTTACCACCCTTCAATATTCTCCACCCTAGGCTTAAGTGTGTGTAGAAAAATAAATCAACTTGGCTGGTTAAACTGTTTTCTATTCCAAAACCCAATA